GATAAGTTAAAAAATTATAATACCATAATAGTTTAAGTGTAATACAGAATAAATATTTAAATGTTCATCTCTTAAATAAAAATTTGCAAATGATATGTAATCATTTTAAAAATTGTACTTATATAAACGTAAACTCTACACGTAAGAATTATATAGATTACATTGCTAGAAAGCTGAATTTCTTCATTGACTGTTATGACTATGATGAAAAATTTTTACCATTCTATAAGAATATACATGTTAAACCTAGGCTTAACTTGTTTCAAGGACAACGAATACATAGTTCAAATTATAGATCTGAAAATGGGACGTTGAGTATTATAAAACACAACAAAATTAAAATACAAACTACTTTACTTGATTTCTTTCCTAGAATTCCGTACAAAAAACATTTACGTAAGAATTGGTACGTAAGCATTCCAATTCTTCGCCTTCCAAATTTATTACTGATTTAAAAAAATTAACAATGAACAAAATGTTTCTCCTGTAGCCGAATCAAAAAGAGACTTGTTTTTTCGGAAATGACTGTAGTGATTCATTGATCTTATTGCATCAAAATATAGCTGGTATATTGAGCAAATGTGACATATTTCAGATTGCATTAAACGAGTTTTCTGAAAACGGGCAAGAAATAGAGATAATATGCTTTAGTGAAACTTTTCTGAAATCAGAAGAGGAAAGGAACCTCCATTTAAGTGGCTTCTGCCTAGCTGATTATTATAGTAGATCTAGGATCCGACGGGGTGGCGTATGCATCTTATGCAAAGATTACTACTATAGATTCAGGAAAATTCCATTTGTAAAGGAACTAGCTATTGAAGAATCGTTTGAATGTTGTGGCATTGAAATTCCTCAGATAAAATGCATAGTTATCTGTCTTTATCGAATACCAACATCGAACCCTAATATTTTTCTTAACCGTTTTGAGACATTGCTGTCAAAATTAAGGTATAGGAGAAATACAAACATTATAATTGCTGGGGATTTCAATATAAATATATTAAAAGAAAGTCATATTGGAACTGAGTATATTAGAATAAACGAAAATTATGGAACATTTATACATATTACAGAACCAACACGTAAAAAGTCTTGTTTGGATCAGATTGTAAGTAACATTCCATCAGCAATTGGAAAGACACATTCCATATGGCTATCAGATCATGATACTTGTCAAACCCTTACTTTTTCAGTCAAAAATAAAGACAAAAAATTTCAAATAAAATACGTTTACAAAAGGGATTTTAGTATGAACAATATGAAAAAAATTGCTGAAATTTTGTCAAACTTGTCCTGGTTAGAAATATATGAAAACACAGATCTTAATAACTCATTTAATTTGTTCCATGAAACGCTGACAATGTTTTTCAATTAATGCTTTCCAGTCAATAAAGTATTACTTAAAAATAAATTAAATGCTTGTAACTGGATAACAAATGGTATTAAGAGATCATGTGTAACAAAAAGAAACGTTTTCATTACTATTTAAACAAAACTCAGTCCAGTAAAAGAAGATATCGAAAATATTCTTCTATTTTGAAAAAATGTATTAATAACTCAAGAAGACTGAATGGTGAATTACGCATACTCAACAGTAAAAATGTATGTAAAACAACATGGAATCTCATCAAATCGTATGATCAATCACAGCTAGATAATAAATATTTAATAAAATTAAAATTGATGACATTGATATAATAAATCCTATTGACATTTCTAATAATTTTAACGTATTTTTTACCAATCTTAATAAACAAACCAATTTGACTTCTCATAATGACATAACGTCCCTAGATACAAACTTATTCCTTTATCCATCTTCACGCGATGAAATATTTAAAATATGTCACTCAATAACACATCATCGGTGGGATATGATGAATTACCAACGAAAGTTTTAAAATACTGCGCTCTTATTCTTTCAGAAGTATTAAGTTACTTGGTGAATCTATCAATGACTGAAGGCACATTCCCTGAGGCTCTTAAATTATCAATTATAAAACCTATACATAAAAAAGGCGAAACAGACCGAATGGATAATTACAGACCCATTGCTTTAATACCAGTACTGGCAAAAATTTTTGAAAAAGCAATGCACACTAGGCTTTATGACTATTTAGAAAAATTCAACATACTAGCTGAAGAACAAAATGGTTTTAGAAAAGGTAAATCAACCTCTTTAGCGGCATTTAACGTAATAAAAAATGTAACAGAAAATATTGATAACCATATTGATACTATGGTGGTATTATTTGATATGAGTAAAGCCTTTGATTTTGTTTCGCATAATATACTTTTATCCAAATGCGAGAAATATGGTAAACGAGGGAATGCATTAAATTGGCTACAAACTTATTTACAAAATCGCTCACAGTATGTTGAAATTAAATACGTTAACGAAAATAAAGAGGAAGTTGTATCAAAGTCCTCAATCATGGTAAATAACATAGGCGTTCCACAAGAAACTATCTTGGGACCATTATTATTTATTATTTACATTAATGACCTTCCTGGTGTGACTAGACATAAATGTAATTTATTTGCGGACGATATATCAGTAGTGATACCCAAAGACCCAAACGTAAATTACAATAATGACATTAATAACACAATTAACAAGATTACAGAATGGCTTATGAAGAACAATTTAAATATTAATATAAATAAAACAAAATACACTAGATTCTATAATAAAAAACCAAAACTAAACAATTTGACTGTACTTATTAATAATGTAGCTATACAAGAATTAAACGATGCTGTTTTCTTGGGTATAGCAATTGACAGTCAATGTTCATGGAAAGCACATATTAAGAAAGTATGCACCAAAATAACCAGGTTTTCATACGCATTATGGTGATTAACGACGCAAATAAATCAAAAAGCTTCATTAATTGCATATCATGGATACGTTGCATCCAATCTCAGATATAGAATACTTCTTTGGGGAAACTCAATAGATTTGAATAGGGCTTTTATATCTCAAAAGCAATGCGTACGAGCTATATGTAATGTATCACCTTTGACGTCATGTAAACAGTTATTTCCGAAACTGAACTTATTAACTCTTCCATCGCTGTATATTTTGGAATGTTGCGTTTTTGTAAAAACTCACCCATGTCTGTTCACACGTAAAGATATAAATTCTACTAGAAGTAACAGATATCCTGGAAAGCTCTTGTTACCCAAAATGCACACCGCCCTATTTAAAAGAAACTGTTATCCCAGTTGTGTGATAATTTATAATAGACTAGCTGACCCGACAGACTTCGTCCTGTCAAAAAGATTTGTAATGTGGCAGTTTTTTTGCCTACGTATTTAAAAAAATTCTCCTGAACAGAACCGTCACCCTGGTGATAGGGCGTTGTGAATAAAAAATAATTAAATAAAACATATATAAGGATTTAAAAGTAAGTAATCGCTTTATTGTTAATCATGTGAATCATAATTATTATTGCAATGTATTAATAGTAATAGTATTAAATATAGAAAAAAGAGATTTTTATGATCATAAAAACACATTACACACAACAGCATTATAAAAGTAAACTATTCGAATTAAAAAAATATATAAACATTCTCAAGGAAAAATGCTGGAAGAATCCATCTACCTGTACCCCGGAATGAGACTCGAACCCATTCGCGATCCAGGGACTGCTCTAACCAATGAGCTATCTAGGACCCAACAGCTTTGCTACTACAGAGCGTATTTTCATCAATGTTCCGGCAATACATGTAATGACGTGGAAACTGATGCATTTTATCTCGCGTGCCGAAACTAATACAAAAGAAACGCGAGTTTCGGAACGCGACATTAAACTCCTCCAACTATGTATTCTGTGCTCCAACGCACACACGCACATTGTTTTGTGATAGATATGATCTTTGACGTTAGGAACACACCTACATTGCTTAGACAACAGTGAGTGCTTGTAATTTAATATGAACTTTATACCATAGCAATAAAGCTCAAATTGACTACGTTTTAGTTACAAATCATTTGTATGGGAAAAAGAAAAGGGCTATTTTTAGGGTTTTTCCAGCAATAATTCTAATTTTTCTCGCCGTAAAAACCATCCTTGAACTTCAACGAACATTTTAAAAAAAGATTTGGCCAAATTGGTCGAGGCGTTGTTGAGTTATGCGCTTACCAACACATTTTGCGATTCATTTTTATATATATAGATTACCTTATTCATTAACTAAATTTAATTTGAATATACAAAGAAAACTATCAAACTGGCTTAAAATTAAATGTTTCTACTCAGTCAAGAAGTATCAAAATAGTAAGATTGACATACAATAAATATTGACTAACCTGTAATTGACATTTTTATTTCTATTTTTATTAATTGAATTTCACTGACATTGTGTTTGATAGTATCTGATATTAGTTTTCTATTTTGAAATTATTGTAACATTTTAATTTGTTTGACAATATGTGAATGATAATAATATAATTTAATTAATCAATTGTTAATTTAATTAATTGTTTGATAATTATACTTGTATGATACGATTTTATAATCAATATATTTGCAAGCTATTGTTGATGGCTAAATGGGCTGGACTCATTAATATTGTATTGTATTTCTACCTATTTCAATATACTTTATTCTTTGAAGATGGCGTAGTAAAACAAACAAGTGAATAATTAAAATAAGTATAATTTTTCTAAGTAATAATAAATAACAATCGTCACATTACAAAATCTCTCATTTTAAATACAATTGAATAGAAAAAACATTAAAAATGTCGTATTTTTGCATCTCAAGACATGTCTTTATGGAATTAATACCTTAAATTCAAATATAGATATTAAAAAGATGTCATAATTCATAACTCGAGTAAACCATGATCAGAACATGCTAAAAAATATATTTGTTAAAAACTATCCAATATAAATTTCATTAAAATGTCATATCTCATAGGCTTGACCTGTCCTTTTGAAATAAAAACCCCAAATTCAAGTTAAAAAAAGTCGTATCTTGTACTCGAGCTTAGAACGATATATCGTAGGGGGTGGCCTTCACCTCCTCATTGATGTAGCTGACGGCTCTCTCGGCGATCATAATGACGGGTGCCTCTACGTTGCCGCGGACAGTGGCGGGCATCGCACTGGCGTCGGCGACTCTCAGCTTGTGCATCCCCTTCATCTTCAGGCGCGGCGTCAACACCGCACCCATGCTTACCGAACCGCCCGCGCGCCACGCCGACATGCCCACGTTCTGCGCTATGCATTTAAAATAATTATCATCTTCAACCTCCAAGCCATTGCAGTCCGGCAGATCGTAGTCGACCACGCGAGCCCCGATCTGCTTCATGACCGTTGTGTTAACGAGCGAGTACACGGTCCTCATCGCCTCTGGATAGCCTTCGTAGTCGCGTGGATCGCTGAACGTGCCCGAGTATATTGACGGATTGTCTTTCGGGTCGTTCGATGCTAATTTTACGTTGCCCTTCGAAACGGGGTTCAATTTAACAACGGCGAAGGACAGCAGCTCCTTCTCCTCGTTTATTGCTCCGAGCTTATCGCAGATGTGTTTCTGGAAGTTGAGTATACTCGGGCACGCATTTCGGAAGCCGACGTTCTTCGGTATACACACCGGATAGATGGCGAAGTCGGGAGCGGTGACGTCAGAGTTCTTATCCGTCGACATGTAGAGGCCCATACTGTCCGAAGAGCTGAGGGCGCCCGTTTGGTTGTACAGGTATTTTATCATCTCGATATGTCGCTCAGCCTTCGGCAATGTGCAAAGATCGACGTCGGCAGTAAGGTAGATCAGCACCATAGTCTGATCGTGCAGCGATTCCCCGACGGGCGTCTCATGCACTACATCTATGCCCATCTCTTCGAGGTGGTTCCTCGGCCCGATACCCGAAAGCATCAGCAGCTTGGGTGTGTTGAAAACTCCGGCCGATAGCACCACCTCGAAATCTGCATAATATATAAACGACTCTTCATCTCTCGTCACTTTGACTCCGTAGGCGGTTTTGTTGGAATCTATCAATATCTGCGTCACGACAGAGTTTCTCAATACGAAAAGATTCCCTCTATTTTCGAATCCCGCCCTGCTGATGAACGCTGTAGCAGTGCTATCCCTGCGGCCATCTCGTATGGTATGGAGAAAACGTCCTGCGCCGAATCTGCCTGGATACGTCATATCTTCTACTATCGGGAATCCCAGCTCGTTGAAAGCATTGAGAAAAGTGTCAACATCCTTCGAAGTTTGTTTGGAACCGCTCACTGTTATCTCTCCTTCGACAGAATGGTACGCCATCAAGACAGGATCGTTGAGGATCGTCGGGTCGGTGAGATGTTCTGTCTTCTTGAAGGAAGGAAGGACGGCGTCCCAATCCCAGGTGGGCCCGGCGATATCAGCCCAAGTATGAAAATCGTGGGGGAAGCCGCGGGTATAAACCATATCGTTGGCCGAGCCGCTGCCTCCGAGCATGCGACCTTGTGGCTGACGTTGTATGCCGCCTTCCAGCGCCTTGCTCGATTCACTATTCGTAGTAGAAGTGAAGTTCCAATTATAAGCACCAGTCTTCATAAAGTCTTTGTAAGCGGGAACCTGCAACAAGAAGCTTCAATGTTTAAATACAATCCATTTTATGAAGTACGTAACCTACAATTATTAAATTATTTTAAGAACCTTATATCTTCGTTTTTTTTTTGTCTAAAAGGTAATAAAGCAGATTTTTTAACTATTTTTTTTCGTCATATACTAGTATATTAACCTGCCTATTATTATATTTACCATGCTTTCAGGGGGTGGGTCGGGACCAGCCTCCACCAGTAACACGGTGACGTCACCTAACTCTGCCAACCGTGACGCAATTAACGAACCCGCAGACCCGCCCCCCACCACGATGATGTCGAAGTGAGACTCGTCTGTGAATGATAACATTACAATCAAACTCAAAATTATTACAATCACCGTACGACGGATTTTGCTATGCTAAATTCGCTCGGTGAGTTTGCGAATAGTTCTTGCAATTTCTGATCATTTCGCTGTCGCAGCTTTAAGTGAGGCGGCGGTTATGATGACATCTGCAGAGTCAGTGTCTACTTACTCATTATTTTTGGCTGCTCGGGCCAAGGTTCCCGCATCATGCACTGCGCCACTGCGAAGAAGTGCAGTGCGGCCGACACTGCATTAGCCACGGTACTGCCGCCCGCAGCGCACACGTGCGCTAGTGGCGCCACCATTTTGCCTCAACTAGTAACATAAAATAAGTTTGATTTTATTAACAACTTCTTTTAAAATATTTATTATACTATTTTTTGTGGAGAAACAAAAAGAAATGTTTGATTTTACTCGTACATAAATAATTGTTTGTACAAAATTCTGTGACAACGTCTGAAAAACAATACATACATTTTTAAGTGTATTTATAATTTTTATAGAAATTGCAAATTTTAAAATTTGTACATCATACATCGTCTATAAATCTATAGTAATATTAGAAAGACGAAAGATTTAATTGTTTGTTTGTTTGCCTTGAAAAGGCTCCGAACCACTGGACCAAATTTAATTTTTTTTTACTGGAAACTACATCGCAGGCGGGTGACATAGACAAAGTGACGGGATAGCAGCTAGTCTATACTAATAAATTATATAAAGCTGAAGAGTCTACTTGTTTGATTGAGGGCGCTAATGTCAAACTACCGGTTCAAATTGATTTTTGTTCGCCCAACCTATGACCGGCCTTTGCAAAACATCTTTATCACAGACTGTGCGCGCTACCCACTGTACAATCTAGCTTTACACGGGATGAGAGACGACTGTGTGAGACGTATGCGATTTTTGAATTTACTTAGTTGCAACTTAGTTAATGTTCTTCAAATTTAAAAAAAATATGTTTTATGTATGTGTATATTATTTTTATTATATCATATCTCCAGAACTGCTAAAAGGATTCATATGGCCGAGATAGATGTCGTTAAGAAAAATAAAACATGGCGTCCGTGAGACGACATTGTACTTAGTAAAAAAAAAATACCTTTAATATGGATATTGAATTAAAAGGCTTAACATAAGGATTTCAAAAAGGTATATCATGATTGTCATAACCATAACAGAAATAAATTAATACTTTTAAATATAGACCTCGCTTTCTCGACCAACCTAGTAATATGTCTAACAATTAAGATTTTTTTTTAATTTATTTATTCATTCATGGAAATAGTTTTATCAGTTTTTCAAATACTTTTTAATGTGTTGTATTTTATAAGTTCACTTTAATTTTTCCTTAAATTTGCTTTACATAACTAGTCCTCCACCGTGGGTGGTCCGCCATTTTGATTACTCCGCAATATTGGACGTAGGATTAAGATATATTATTATATTCGTATTTTGTTAGGAAATAATTTCATTTGATACCATTCAGTCTAGGCTGTTTTAAGCACTTTAATTTTGAAAGAAGATAAATACATTATTACTCAGTTACGAGAATTAACGAACATACGTACACTGCAAGTAAAGTAGAAATTTTATAAATAGATTACTTTTTCCTAATAAGTACTAGTTTATTGATATAAACTTACTGGCAAATATAAAAAAATCAAAGGTGTTACGGCGTCGGTTAAATAAGTCAATCTACCCACAAAGGTAGTTATAAAAATCCATCCAAGGGTGATTGAAATATTCAAGAAAATTGATAAGAAACTACGGATGCCCTGGCGAAACCCTTGTGATTGAATAATTTTAAACTAAATCCATCATAGAGCCATCAAAATTTAAAATTAATTGATAAGTGAACAAGGGCATAACACATACTAACACACAATATGGAAAGAAAGACAATAGAACTCGAACGAACCTTTTCTTTTTTTGAAGTAAGATAAAAAATAAATTGTCTCCAATAAACCCGTCCTCTAGAAAAGTATCTTCAAAATGAGTATCACACCACGTGCGGGGTAGTGGCCGGAGCTACTCGTTTCTCTATCGATTGTTAAATGTCTGAAAATAAAGAAATTTTATTTTAATATATTGACGACCTCCGTAGCCGAGTGGTTCGCACGCCGGTTTCAAGGTGTCGCCATCTCTGAGGTCCCGGGTTCGATTCCCGGTCGGGTCAATGTAGAAAATAAACTTTTCTATATTGACTCGGGTCTGGGTGTTGTGGTACCTTCGTTGTCTCAGATACTCCATAATACGGGGGCTTTAGCTACTCATTTTGGAATCTGAGCAATATATGTGATGTTGTTAAATATTTATTTATTTATTTATTTTACAAATGTTTCCTTAAAGTATAAATACTTCAAAATGTCACCAGACAGTATTTTTTTAAAACATAATTAAGATAAATAAATATCAATTACAACATTTTGAATGCAAAGTTGATTAAATATCGTAAAAAAAATATGTGGGTAATTTTCAAAGTTCAAATTTCAAGTTCATTTATTTAGTCATTCATTACTTGTAATTTTTTTCTCAGTCGTGATTGTTTTATTTTAACTTCATGACACTACAACGGTGACTATTTTATTAACAAATTAAAAGACCGTTACAATGGCGCTTGATTAACGAAAAGTATCACTTTATATATTAATATTTTGTATCTAATTCTAGAAATCGAAATACTCGCACTAATTTTGAAAACTAAAGAATAGAAGAAGAAAAATTATGAGGTATTCAAATAACAAATTCTATTATTTGCCTACCTCATACAAATACCTCAGTAGTGAGACTTTATAGGTGACGATAATCGCATTATTCATGTTGGCACTATCTTGAAATATAATTCTATCGAATGCAATTATAGTCAATCGATTAATTCTATCCATTCTATTTCAACCCAGGTATAGGTCTAAACAGGCAATGGGCAATTTACTATTTTTTATTAAACATTTATCAAATACACTAATTTGCTAATAATTAAATTTCTTACGATTCACACATTTGCCAATTTTGACTATTAGAAAGAATGAATGTAAGAAATGTACTCATTATAATTAGTATTTATCATAACTATGATGTAGTTTTCTTATTATTGAAACAGAAGTACCTACGCGGCGGTAGCACGACTTTTCACGCCACGTGACGGCAGTTGAGAATATAAATTGGTATCATATCCACAAAAAAGGATAATAATATTGAATAAATTATAGTTAAATTGAAGAATTTATTGTAACTATCTAAAATAACCATCTGCAGACGTAACAAATTAAATAACGTACAGTTAAAAATCAGATAATGTTTATCGTTTACCCTCTGTTGGCGGAGATTATAAAAAATTCACACAAAATCTACAAAAACTTCTAATAATAATTAATAACTAGCATTTTTAATCACTTTAAGGAAACGACCGCTAACACGTTGAAATAATATCTAACGGTAAGTATTATTAAACTACCTACAAATATAAATTTAAAGAATAACTTTCTAATTACATCAAATACTAAACTATTTAAATATATCTTTACGACAAATCACTTGCGGAGTACAAAGAGAGAATAATTAACATTAATACAAGTGATTAATGATTAAGGTTTTATTAGTCGTTTTTATTTCAAACTGATGGTAGTTTAATAAAAAAAAATCCGCCATAAAACCAATTAAAATTAAATAATTAAACAATATGTTTTTCAATCATTTTTATCACCTGTTAGTTGAATATTAAGTTTTATTTTTTAAATGTTTTATTTTCATTGAATATTATATTCTATATTACTTTAAACATTTCAGAACAAGATGAAATATAACGATCCAAAAAATTTAGTCATGTTAAAAAAAGAATATTAAGAAAAATGTTCTCACCTCTTTATCTGATGTCCTTGTGTTGTGGATGTCAATGCTGGTGCCGAGCCTTGGCTGAGGTTGAAGTGATAATGAATGCTCGCTGCTGAATACTTGCCTTAATAAACGTTTCCCAATGATGTCAAATACTTGCAGGTAGGTGAATAATAAAATACGATTTGACCATCCCAGGCAACAGCGCCGGCTTTAGGACTGGGTGACAAGGGGCCCTATAGCGTTCCGTACAACAAAATACAGAGCTTGGCAGAAACGTCTCATTTTCTTTTAATATCTCTGTCATTGTCCAATTTTCGCGTATAGAAGAAATATATGTTCGTTTTAAAATTAGCCATTACACCGAAACGTTTGTTGTACTACTGCTTAAGAAGTTCATTCAATAATATTATCTTGAATGCAGTCAAGGTACCCAATGCTTATTGTCAGAAATCATTAAATTATTTATTTTAACTCTTTATTTCTTTAGTGTAAAAAAATATATCAAAAAAGTTGAGTTTATAATAATTCAAATTACAAAATACTTACTAGGTATGCTATAAAATTTAAACATAATAAACAAAGTAATATATGAAGTAAGGTATTTTTTAAACGCCAGGTTGTTTCCATGTTCCGAGTAACGTAAAAGAATTAAAAAACTGCCTTTGTTCCATTTTAATGACGTCGCTTCTTTTCAAGAATTAACAGTCTCTTTTTTTATAAATTGAACAGCAAACCTAATTTTTATTAATGCTATTAAAAAACAATTTTTACCGCTAGAGTAAATTGACGCAAAATTATCCAATTTTAGTATTCCAAATTCATAATATAAGGAGAATAAGCAAACTTACTACCTTCTAGGAGTAAATACTACTCATGTAGAACCTCTTACTAGGTTAACCTTTTCTAATAATATTTTAAATAATATGAATTTTGACTAATACTGAGTGCAGTCTCGGCGTAAATTTAGTCCAACGCTAAACCTTGTTTATTAATAACACTGTACAAGTCTATGATGACAAAAAAATATAATAAAAAACAGTTTTTATAAAACAAGCTCCTATTTGTGCTCACTAAACAGTCGCATTATTTTATTGCTAAGTTGCTATGACCACCTTTCAGCTCCATCATAACCAGACCTTGGCCTGGAAAGCACCCAGTACCAAAGTCCTCATAAAGACAAATCTAACGAGCCCAAACACAATGTAGTTGCGTCATTTCATCACTAAGTTCCTATGACCAACTTCCGACTTCATCATCATATCAACTTACTGACACAATATTAATGACAATTCATCTGACTTACATGTCTAAGCAAAATTTCAAATTGGGAAATGGGTAAAATTTAAGTTCCAAGATTTGCGCACTAACTTATAAGTATACTTGTAAGGTAAGTTAAATAAAAGCTTGTAAATAAGAAAGCCGGAAACTCATTTTAGCCGGATTTTAGATCATCGTGTATTTTATTATGACTCCTGACAAACAATCCATAAAAAATATACCGATTACGCCGATTCAAATAAGTTTTTTAAAATAAACTACTATAGATTTACTCTACAAATACATCGAGGAAAATGTGTGACTACTCCGGGGCGCCTATACCACACCCGTATGGTTAAAGTCCGGCTCTGATTGTCAGCCGCAGAGCTACTGTGGGTAGTTTTGACGGGGTGGTAAGATCATACAATTGAACATTAAATATAATGTGGAAGTATTTTAAAAAAATAGTTCCCTAAATCAAACGAGATGTCGTTATGACACTTTCTTGATTTCTCCATGACAACCCTTCCGGTTTTCTTTCATGTATAAAAGTAAATTAGATTTCAAAACTCAATAAACAACTCATATTCTATTTGTTCCCTTTCGTATTTGTATTGATATCTAAGTTTGGAACTTTGCAAATTTAAGTTTTTTAATATGTTAGTTAAAAGGAACTGAAATTGCTATCTTTGGTCCATTCATTTCCTGCAAAAATCAACTTTTGCTTGAGTCGCCATCTAGTGGAGGTGCCTTTTTAGTGCTTTCTTTTTTTTTAATACTTCCTCATTCTTAAGGTAATTGTTTTATAAAACGTTTAATATGATTGAACAAAACACTGAGAACTCAGATATCATTATTTAATGATTGGTAATAAAATGAAGTGTGAAAAAAATGTTGATGAATAGATGATCATACTCGTATACAAAAAAATTCAAATGAAGGTAAGGTAATTTTTTTACCTAACGGAATTACAATCTACCTGACGGACAAACAAAAAAAAATTAACCGTCATCCCTCTTATTCAACTCTCAAAGTCTCATGCCTGTTTCACTAAACTTAGGATGCGCCCAAGTCTATCGCCTAAATATTTAGGAATCGCCTAAGATAAAAATGCATTTCACCATTGACTAGGAACCACCCAACGAAATTAAGCAAAAGGGATAACAGAAAAAAATATTTATTAGAAAGTCAAGCTATGCCTTATTCTAGGTTAGTAAAAATGGGTCTACTATATTTTCTTTGTTAAAAATTCGATGTTTATTTGTAACTGTTGCCTAATTGTTTTTCATGGAGTGAGATCGTTTTAACTGTACCATTAGTAAATGTTTGTTTCAGTTTTTGCATGTGATGTACACCTGTAAATGATCGTACATTTAGCAAATTTAATTTAAGTTAGTTTATTAAATCACATTAATATAACAATCATTGGTGTACTGAATAAATAAATAATTGTAAACGTTAAGAGAGAAATAAAGTTAAACTAGTGATCTCAAGTATGTAAGAGGAAAAAAATAATCAATAAATAAAGGGGTTATTTAAATTGATTGGAGTTATTATAGGTATACGTCGTGTACCTGATTGGCAGAATTGTAGTTGACACAAAAAAATCATTACGAGAGAAGAAGACAATTCTTAATCGCTTTGCTGCTAATTTCCACTACTATACGTTTTCTGTGAAACCGAATTGATTTGATAATGGATGAATCTAATATCTTTCGAAATGGGGCTACACCTTCTTCTGGACATCGAACCAAGTACAAACAGTGAACATCGACAGCGGCATGATGTGAATTGTGGAAATCTATAGTACATCAAATATACTCCAAACAATTTCTGATAAAGAAACACATTAGCAATATAATTTTAATGAATATTATATGTAAGACGATCAGAGAAAATTATTATTGATTTGACATGTTTTTACATTTAGTTGTATACGAATAATTTAATAAATTAAATTCTTTTAGGTGGGTACGAGTACATTGATCTGATCGCAGCTGTCATCCATGTTGGCAACGAACAAACAGAATAGACTTCAAGTTCCAACTCATATTTCCAGAACTTATACATACCTTGCCAGATTATACAAGAGCACCCGATTCACAAGTTTATTTTTTATTCTGGATTGTGACTCATCACAGCGTATGACAGTTTCCTTTGGGTGAAAATTGATTGTTGGTCTCACTTTTATTTGGCAAAAGAATAAGTATACGTAGTTTTGATTGTACTAATTAGGCTGAATGTATGTTTATCATGCAACCTAATTGCATGTACAGAACGAATAACGTTAGCTCCCGCTCAGTGTTTAGATTACATTATAAACAGAAATTCACTTTTTTTACTTAATATACTTGTGATGTAACATCCCTTTTTTATATAATCACAAAATAAGAAAGTCAGTAATACTTATGTCAGAAAATATTTGTATTAATATATTATAATGATAAATAGGTAGTTTAGACTAGCTGTACCCGCGACTTCGTCTGCGTGAGAAATATATTAGGAGTATTATTTCTTTCCTATGGGTCAAATCGAATCGAATAGGATAAATGGGCCATAACCCACTACGCAGGCCGAATACAGCTTAATTTTCATTCCGAATAATAAAGTTTTTCCATCCAATGCTAGGTCGCTTGGAAGAAATCGCTGATTAGCAATAAATTTATCTTTTGTCCGAAGGCGTAATATTTATGTATGTTCATGTCATTTTCTTGTTGTCCAATAAAGAGTATTGCTTGCTTACTTAAGCGCATCATAAACTAAATGCGCTAACCCGATTATAATAATTTATTTAATTATAATCTATACTTTAATATTATTAAGAAGAAAGATTTGATTGATTGATTTTTTTTGTATCGAATTGGTTCCGAAACCACTAGTTAAAAATTCTTTCATTTGCGGGAAGCTACATCATACTCCGGTTGCATTTTAACGTGAGGTAAATCGTATACTAACATATACTTCCTTCATTTAAGTGTGTGTGTGAAAAAAAGAAAAGAAGTAACATTAGACTATTAAAAGGAAAAAAAATGATATAACTCGAGTTGTCTTCACTCATTTGAGAACGATGTAAACCCACTTTAGATTCATGCAGAGTTAAAGATTCTATAGTACTTAACATGGCCTACATAGATCGTAAAGTATTGCACTTTACGATCTTCTTACGAATTTTCTCAATTTAGCAATTTTACAGTGAGAGAGGTTTGAACTTTGTTTGAGGTATTCTTACTCTTGAAGTTACGTAGCTTCCTGTCGAAAGCAACTGCTAAGCGTGAACGTGAACCTGGAGGCCTACCCACCGAAATCCCTACGGTACCGCCTCTCATTGGAGAAGAGAACCGGAACCCGTGGCCTAGTTACCAGGTCACTCAACCATTGGACCATTAGTCCCCTCGCGCATGGAGAGTCTCGAGTACATCGAGAGCCTCTTCTAGACAGATGAGACCTTGCAGTGCAGGGTGGCTACCAACCACCTCCGCTAACCTCAAGAACGTGAACCTAACCTGATAAAAAAATATTATCGAAAACCTTATACGTGCGTTCTTGCACTGTAAATTTCTCGATGCATTATAAGCTGAACCCTATGATTGGTCATATCCATTTACATTTGGGTTATCCAAAACCTTGGAAATTTATTTTTTTATTTATCGTGTTACAAATTATCATTTAACAGGCCATAACAATACGTCGCTCGGTATATAAAAGAACTGATGATGACAATTAATACATTAAAGACTAAAATTTAATAGAGCAGTTAATTTCATAGCAATTTTGGCGAACACGATACCTACTTCAAATCGAGGTAAAACTACATTTAAATCGGTTCAGCAGCTGAGATTAGCGTGCACAAATTTTTTAAATCGTTATTTTGTGTTCTATTACGTTTATAAATGCCCCTATAATAGTTATATTCATATAAGTTCAATGTAATACAGACATCGATCAGTTAAAGTTTTTACTATAGTATAGATGAATTGCCTGAACATTAATGAGAATATGTTCACTAGTAATTAATGTAATTTGCCTATATTCATTCATTTATATCAATCCTGCTAGATATTTGGTAATTCAATTCTAATTTAATTCATCTACAACAATATATAAACAAATAATAAATATAACACAATATCACATTCATTGTTCAGATTCCAAGATGAGTAGTCAAGGCCCCTGTATTATGGAGCATCTGAGACAACGAAAGTAACTCAACACCCAGACCCGACACAATATAGAAAAACAATATAGATCGACCCCGGGACCTCAGAGATGGCGACACCTTGAAACCTGCGTGCGAACCACTCGACTTCAGAGGTCTTCTGATTCAATTGGCTAGAGCGGACGTCTGGAATGCGAAAGGTTGTGGGATCGAATCCCACCTCCTAAGATTGGTGATTTTTTAAACATTTTCCTTATAGATATACCTACTATATATAAATCGATCAAATAAAATAATGGTAAATAAAATATTTGTAAGCAATAATTTTTCAGTGACATTTTTATTACAATTGTACACATGCTTTTTACACACACAATTAAGTTCTCGTGTGAAGACACTACAAAAGTTGACTTCCTTTAGATACAATATATAAAAAAAAGGTTATTACAATCCCAGATAATATCCATTAAAGTCCAAGTGTCCATACAAACAGAACAATTTCCTTTGTTAACTGCTTTCGTAGTGTTTAATAATTATTTTTAGATTTATAATAAGTCGATTATGAAAACACAAACAGCTGAGATACAAAAAGGTAAATTGGTAAACTTAGGTGGTGTCAATAATAAACAAATACCAATACGATATTAATAATATTGTATAATTCACATCAGAACATACACTTAAAAATAAAATAAGTACCTAATATTAGTTTGTTCATGATTATCTTTCTTTCACGAGGCCGATTGGTATCTTGGTGTACTTTCATCTCTGAAATATATTAAAAAAAAACAATTTTATAAATGATTAAAGTTTCAATGAAATTTACCATCTTAAAAGTGGTCATTACATCACACGACGCGGCATACAATTGCTTTTTGTGTGTAATGTTTAAGATTTTTCTTATTTTCTCTGTACTCACCGTCGTCATCGAGCATACGCCAAAATGTCCAAGGAGAATAGAGCCTCGGTCCAGTCCCGTGTTGCAGTTAATCGCCGTAACGCGCGACCCCGGCACAGTAAGCTCATAGTACCTGCCACAAATAACATATTTGCTTATTCAATTTGTCATACGATACAAATCTCAAACTGAAAAGCAAAGAAGGTGCTTTTACAGATATCTATATAAATATGTAACAAAGAAAATATGGTTTTATTTGTGAGCAATCTAAAATTTTAATGAGAATTTGTGCCATTACATTCACGATAATTGTGAGGGTCAGACTGAATCGGTGTATACTGTGATATCTGTACAGCTCCAACTACCACCATAAGCGGAACCATGATTTTCAATAGAAAAAATAAATATTTAACTTTGATACTACTCATTGAAATTCAGTTTTGTTCTATTGTTAGATAATGTACTAACCTAACCGTCCAATCGTACGAATTCTCCACTGGTATATAAAAGTCAGGTTCATTTAACAACAGGTATTTTTGTAAATCCCGAAACATGGAGTGTGAGCTATTGATCGGGTAGACGTTCATGACAGAGGAACCCGCTTGGTCCTGTTGCCCTTGAGTGGGAATCGTGCGACCGATCAGATAAACATACTGGTATTGTTTCTTATCATTTTCTATAGATAGTTTAATGTTTAAAAATTGCTTTTCGCAACCAAACATTGTTTTGGTTACCACACAAAACACTAACGTTCCCGCACAGGCAAAGTCGCAATGAAAGAGCCTTGCAGTTCGACGAAGCTTTTCACACGGATGCACCTTCAGACATGAGCCACCGGTGAAGCTGTCCTCAAAATAAACTTGGAGGCAATCTCTCTCGTTAGACATGAATGTCAGATGATACCGTGTCACTGCCGACTGCCCCGCTCGCCCTAGATTGATATTCATCGACATCCAAATCATGGACTTCCCCGTAGCTTTAAGCTTCTTTTCTTTCTTATCTTTACAAGACGTCTGAGATAGCACGCTAACGCTATCCTCGGTTGATTTCATTTTTAAAGCCATTTGACTATCTATCGCTTTAGAAGCACTGAGCTGGTTTGACTTCTCATCTCTCCCGACTTCAACTTCTTCTTCGTTATCTTGTTTGTGAACATTTTGTTCCTCAGTTTTAGAGATTTTCATTTTAAATATATTTTTGAATATATTTTTTATTTTCTTTTTCACGCTTTGCTGTTCCGTTTGTACAGCAATTTCACATAGTTTCACTGACCGTTTCTCGTCTAATTCGTTTACACATTCTGAATGAGAAGTGCCCCCGATTTCATTCTCGTCTGTAATAACTTCTTCGTGATACTTTATTATTCCTTTTTTATCTTTTTGTGATTTTTGTGTAATTTTCCCATTTTCAGTCATAATATAACGATGTGGACCATGAGAGCAGTTCGGTTGATATTGCATATGTCGTAGATTATACCATGGAACTGGACAAAGCACCTGTAACAATGCACAAACTCTAGAATATCAATAGACACATTAAATAGTTTCCTGAAAGCATGTTAATTTAAATGATCACCTCTCCATATAAGCGTCTTTTCTTGCCTTGACCTCTACAGAAGGAGGTTTTGAACGGAAGCGCGCTTGGGACTCTGGTATTTAAGAATGGCCAAATACAGTCCCACAACGCTCGATCTCTTAATAAGAATTGTTCATATTGTTCTAAATCATCTGCCATAGCGATACTATTTATGTCTTTCTTATCCGAGGTGACGGCTTCGTGGGTCCATGCAGGCGCGAATATTGCTATGGAACAACCATACGAATAAGCTACATTCATAGCCTGAGGAAAAAGAAAGAATGTCACGTTTATAAATGTCACATGAGACAATTGTAATTAATCACTAGACATTTATTAAACCTCATGAGTATTAAACTGGCCACCGCCATAGAAGTTGCGTCCCCATACATCAATTCCAATATAGAGGTCAGTTAGCCTCTCTCCAGCCTCCAGTGCACTCTCCTTTATATGGTCGCCGGTCCATGAATAATTGGTAAATATACCATCGCATGCATCAAAAAATGGTCTAAAATTAAACTATAATTTATATTTTGCAATGTGGATAATATAATTCATCATAAAAACAACGTTATAAGAATCGGTACGTTACTTATTCCTTTTATTAAGAGCATTTTGCCAATTGAGAGTACCCTCTATAGTAACACTGTCGTACCAGATCAATACAGGATCTCTTAGCTCTTTATGTAAGGTTTTGTGAAGATGCTCAACAAATTCTAATAGACCCCCAGGGTTTAACACCTGCAAGCAGAATAATATATGTCGCAGGCATATCTTAAAACACGCCGCAATTCTATTAGGCTACTTTATGTCAGATTGGAGTGACGATCCGTTTGACAAAGCGCCGGCAAACGGCTTTAAGCAAAGAAGCAATGTAGGATAACTAATATACAGTTATATACAATAGGTTCATCAAATTAACATTTATTTTTGATATCAATAATAACCAGGGTGGTACTGTTAAATGTATTACACATAGTCCTGCAGCGGGGTGGAGAGCAATTAAAAAAAAACGACTACTGACAGCAGAAAGACTAGTGGTGCTTTGACATACGCGATATGCTATACAATGCGCCTTCTTTATTTTATATGAATTAAATCCGGCTCAACGTAAAGCAGCTGCTTTACATTATATTTTTTTAAGAGCGCACCACTTATTAATACCATTATTATACGATATGGGGGCGACAAACATATAATGAGACGCAAGTTGAAAAGTCTATCCCAAACTTAGGTATTATGAAATCAATTAGTTCCCGAAATCAAACTAGATGTCACTACAGTATTTTCTTGATTTATTTTATTTGTAATTTTTCGTATTTATATCTAAATTTCGAAGTTTGCTAATTTCCGTTTTTTAATATGCTACTTAAAAGGAACGGAAATGACCATCTTTGGTCCATTAGTTTACTGCAAAAATCAACTTTTGGTAGAGTCGCAATCTAGTAAGGTGCTTTTTAGTGCTTTCTTTTTTTCTTAAAAAACTTGCTCATTCAAACCTTATTTTCAATATTAAGTAGCCATCCATCGAATTTCAGTGTTTTCGCAATAGCGACCAGAGCGCTAGCAAAAACTTTGTACTCGTCCTCGGATTCTAATAGTTTATCCCAGAAAGCCTGTCCGTCTGACCATTCTGTGATAACAGTTCCTAAAAAGCATATATCATTATTTATACATTTACTTTTTATCGTGGAAAAATATATAGGAAGTAGGGGGCACTTCAGGTGCAAAGTATCAGCGTCTCTATTATTGGTCGTTACAATAAGTATAGGGGCAGGAAGGCAAGAGGGAAGGCCTAGCTTTGTGTAGAAATAAAAAGAAATTAACCTGTCATATCATAAGTCTTTTATTTTAATATTAAATGTTTTTAAAATAAAATATATATTCTTAAACGCTAATTAAATAATGAAAACATATTTCTATTAATAATAAATAACTATAGTCTAGTCCAAAATGAGTAATAACTAGTAAATTAACTGAGAAATCCCATCTTGCCGTCATTTAGAGGGCCAGACTTTATTTGATTGAACTTCTATACTACAACAGCGCTGCGTTCAGCGTCGAGTTTGAGGCTGTTTTTATAAAAGAATAACGGAATAGCAATGAAAGTATGTTTACATTAATAAACATTAACCACACTTACCAATAACTTTTACTCCATGGGCGTGACCAACATTGATCCAACCTAAAGGTGGTATAGTAATTAGGTGGTGGCTGAAGTAACAGAATATATCAATTCCAGCCCAATTATAAAATGTATATGCATCATAAGTACCGGTACCATCGATTTTGCTAGAACATAAAACAAAGTTTGTTTTTTGTTGCATCCGGTGGCCATTTAAAATAACCGTTTGATTGAATGGCGCCGTTCAATTGCACAGCCGCACGCTGATCAGCCGCAACGTACACAACATACAACCGTACCCAACTGGTTGAGCTTTGTACTAGAAATAGTGCAGATGCACAAAGCGCGTCCTTTGTATTTAGTTTTATTGACATTTCGGACCCTTTAAAAACTATTTCATTTATGGAAAGTGCGCGTGAGAATATAAGAAATTAGTTGGGTTAACTTTAAAGGCTCACGATCTGACACGAAATCTAATTTATCAATTATAACATAAATAACACTAACTTGGAAATAGTATTATTCACATTCAATAACAAACATAGAGTAGCTCGGTGGCGTAGTGGATAAGCGCCGCAGCCCGCGATCGTAGTCGTTAAGCAACTTTCGCAAGGGTCGGTCACGGGATGGGTGACCAAAAAATTATTATCTCGAGCTACTCCGTGCTTCGGAAGGCACGTTAAGCCGTTGGTCCCGGCTGCATTTGCAGTCGTTAATACCCTCCAATCCGCATTGGGCCAGCGTGGAGGGTCATGGCCCATCCTCCTTAACCATCCATAAGGAAGGCCTGAGCCCCTGTAGTGGGGACGTAAAAGGGCTGGTGATGTGATGGATAGCAAACTATCGGTGATATTGGAGTAAAATTACCGTGATGTTCATATCATTTGTGTAATTTTGTTTGTATTTCCTCATTAACGGCTTTTCTCGTTAATGTGGCCTGGCCATTAGTATAAAGAGGAGCGGGCAAATGTTATTATTTTACCCGGAGCGACTAGATAGCTGGAGAGAACTCTTGACATGCAGCAAAACAGATAATGAATATTTTTAATCCACTTCAAAAACTAGGAGGTTATCAGTTCGTGATGTATGTATATAATTTCGTTGCAATAGCGGAATATATGTTAGTCTGTATTTAATTAAATAGATAGATGTATGTATGTTTTGAATTCAGGAAAATACAAAATCTCAACTGATTATTCTCAATAGCTTAAGATTTTTACGTTGTACATGGCAAAAAAGTTATACTTAGTTAACAAACTGTTATCCACTGATCATTAAAAAAAAAACCGTTATAGTGATGTTAAGTACAGTTTGTGACGTGCTTAACTTTTAAATTCTCAATGAGGAAGTATTTAAAAAAATAAATTAGTTGCCGAAATCAAACAAGATGCCGCTACGGTAATTTCTTGATTTCTCCATGACAACCCTTCCGGTTTTCTTTCATGTAAAAAAGTAAATTAGTATTCAAAATTCAAGAAACAACTCATATTCTATTTGTACTTTTTCGTGTTTATATTGATATCTAAGTTTCGAACTTTCCAAAGGAGAACTTTTTTTTGTATGGAAGCCTCCATACAAAAAAAAGTGTACTTTATTCAAATTATCTCTAACCAAGCATAAAGGTATTAATCGATAGAGGGTAACTCTATCGATTAATACCTTGATGATGAGTTAGGTTATAAACCTGACATTTTATTTTATTATTAGGCGCCGCCAATATGTTTATTTTCTGATTTGAACATCATTTGATGGATATTTTATAATTTATGTAGCAACACATAAGTGCATTAGGAAAATCTATGGCGACCCATCCCTACGTTACGTTCCAATTAATGCTATGAATCAATCTATTTGGACAATGTGGAATTATTATTTTTATTTGCTATTAATTATTGTTATTTCAGACCTCTAAATGTCAAATACAGAGATATTTTAAATGAATCGAAGCTCGTTAACGCAGATTAGACCCTATTCAGAGCGGAGCTTATTATAATAAACACGTAGCAAACATATTATTAATTCGATTTTCACAATATTGATATATGATTCGTCTACTAGAGACGCTAAGTTATTCAGGATGCCTTAACAACAAATCAGGTATTTCGTATCGGTAAAGTTGACTATTAAACAGGCTTTTACTAGATAAAAATCATTTTATTACAACAAACATATTGCTTTTTGTTTAATTTCATTATCGGAAATTCCCCACTTTCGTAATTATCCCAAAGTAACTTATCGAAAGCTAGGCTGTGGACAAAGATCCCTTTGCGTTTGTTTTAATTTTCTGCATTTTTTTTAAATGAGTTTTATGGTTGTGCATACTAGTGTTTCTAGATAAACCATACCTTTTTTTTAACTTAATTCTCTAAAACAGGGGGACTTTCAGGCCTGAAATTTTGATGAAAGATAAAGGATTGAGTCTAGATGCTATAATAATTTTCTTTATAGTGGTTAGATTTTTTCGGAATAAAGTAACAAAAAAACCTTCTCTTTTCAGTTATTTCATATGTTAGTTTAAATTGAAAAGTACAGAAATAACTATCTTTGGGTCATTCGTTCCCTGCAAAAATCAACTTTCGCTAGAGTCGTCATCTAGTGAAAGTACTTTTTAGTTCTTTCTCCTTTTTTTAAATACTTCCTCATACAGAAACCGGGTGTAAGTAGCATAGTGCCCATTTTTTTGTTTATTGATCGGGTAAACTAAATACTAATCTGGCAACATTGCATATGCCGATATGCCTGTCCTTTTTTTCAGGAGTTCTCTCTCACTCAACCGCAATCGAAAATAGTTTTTTTTAAGTTTGAACATAGTTAAAAATATAAAAAACTTTAAAAAGCAAAGTTCTTTACCAATCATCATGATATCCATTAGCCATATCATGACAAACAAGTGTTTTTGGTAATTTTTTTTCTTCATGGCGAACTTCATGGCCCAACGTGTCATCCGGATCAAAATGACAGAAAGTGGCTGGTCCAGGCTCCGAAAATGTTACATTATCTCCGATAAGACTTGAATTTTTTAATAGATATTTACTGTGAGGTTGTAATTCTTTACACAGTGTCCTCCAAGCTGGTGGATTTTCTAAAAACAACTCTATTTCACTGTAAGTATCAAGAGGCTTACAGGTTAGTTCGTCCAAAAGAACACTCATCGCTATCCCCTTAAACTTTAAGATGTGTACACTATTAACTAAAAACTTTCCACTTAATACCACTGCACTTATTTTTATTATCACAAAAAAGATCGAAAAATTAATTTAGATTTGTTTACTTTTGTGAATTTGTTGTCAATCTGATCGTGTCACATTGACAGCTGACTAGCAAGCAATCGGTTGGCGGGTAATATGAACACTGCCAACAAGAATTTGATGACATTTATAAAATAATCAAGTTGTATGTCAAGGGAATTGCATTTAATGCATTGTGGTTGTGTATGTATGTCATTCTGATATCACTATGTAAATTATGAGATTTTTCTATCAAGTATATTTAATTCAACAATTCTTAATAAGTGACTGTTTTGTGTTGCAAATAATTAATTAGATAGAATAATTAGAAGATATATGCACACACATCTTCATAGAGAATGAGATCTATATATTTATTTTTATTTAAAATAATTAAGTGGCTGCATGGTAATTATTAACCAGAATATCAATATTGTGTTTGGTATTTTTCCATTCAGATGTGTGCTTTGTTTGCCCCAATTATTAATAGATAAAACTAGTTGGTCAAACATGATAAACATTGTTCTATTGTCTATTTATTTGCATGAATAGTACCTAGTTATTGTGTTAACGACTATTATAATATAAGGCTTGTAAATCTGTACTTGTGAATAGAATAAAATGCATTGTTTTTATAATCATATTACAAATAATGATAAACATATATATACAAATCTTATATATTAATAAGTTTCGATGTGCATTATCAACAACTGTCATTATTGTTAATAATTTAATTTCTCTTTTCAGCCCAACAAAAGAGTGCTCCTCTTTATAATCCATAACATTTGATTTTGTTACTTTCTATAATAATAAAGTAACCACACAAATGTCTAAATGGGCTTCAAAAATAAACTTTTGCAACTACACATAAGTACATGTGTCTTTTCTACATTATGCCTGATAGCCATCATTCAGTTCTTCGCTGCCTATGGAAAATACAATTATCCACATCTATCACAACACATGCTATTAGAGGAACTTCACAAAGAAGTATCTCCACTTTTAACTTTAAAGAAAAATAAACCAGTATGTAACTATGAACAAATACTACAGGCCACAGAGAGCATTGAAAATTGGCAAGTACCAAAGAAATATGATGACTTCTCAGCAAATGGTATTTCAAATGGTAGTTATTCACCTGAAGATTGTAACCCAATGTTCAGCGTAGCAATACTAGTTACGTACAGGAATAGACAAAGTCAGTTAAATGTTTTTCTGCCATACATGCATACTTTCTTGAGGAAACAAAATATTCATTACAAGTAAGTTTGTTTTTCTTTTAATAAAAAAAATAATTAAATACTTCATATGTGCAAAGCCATGCTTGGGTAGCAAAATCCTGAAAGCTACCCCAAATTTGTACAGGGTTTTCAATAATAATAAATATAATAATAAAATAATAAATATTTAACAACATCACATACATTGCTCAGATTCCAAGATGAGTAGCTAAAGCCCCCGTATTATGGAGTATCTGAGACAACGAAGGTACCACAACACCCAGACCCGAGTCAATATAGAAAAGTTCATTTTCTACATTGGTCAATCGGGAATCGGGTCAATTAAAAAATCATATAGTGTAAAAATATTTTTATATTATACTACTAAAATCTTGCTTCATGGAGCATAGGGGAAGGGGATGTTAAGTGAAGGCCGCTATACGAAGCTCCGGTACTACCTACTACCTTTGAAGCTAAAAAATATTGCCGATATCACCAGTGTATAAGCCATGCCCATAGGCAAAACATTTTTACGCGATGACCTCGGTAGCTGAGCGGTTCGCACGCCGGTTTCAAGGTGTCGCCATCTCTGAGATGCCGGTTTCGATTCCCGGTCAGATCAGTGTAGAAAATGAACTTTTCTTTATTGTCTCTGGTCTGGGTGTTGTAGTACCTTCGTTGCCTCGGCTACTCCATAATACTGGTTTTATAACTAAATATTTAACATGTATTTTTTTTTTGCGTCATCATTAATTTACTGCATATATTGAGTTAAATGTCACATGCCGTAGGTACCGCTTTCGTACATATTGTACAAAAGTGTGACGTAGCGAACCCGCACTCCTAATCTGAGCTATTTCTTGTTGAATTAAAGTAAAAAAAATGTATGTATCATATAATATTTTTCTATTATCTGACTGGCGGACTAAATAGAATACCCACGCATCATCCCTAGTGTGTTATCTTAAATAAAACGTGGTTGTTTACGAACATACCACCATCATCAACCTGGATGATCCGATCCTGCGTCGTTGATGATGTTTAATTAATACATGGAAACTCAAACAATTACTTGCCTACATTATAAAATTGAGAGATGTATTACGATTTCAAATAACTTTATTACATTACAGGCACAACATAAGATTATGTAATATAAATATTGTATGTTGAAAAGTTGCTTGTTTGTTTGCATCAAATAGGCCCTGAAATTACTGAACCGATTTCAAAAATTCTTTCCCCTACTGCAATCTACATCATACACGGCTACAATTTACGCGTGTATAGTCGAGGGGAAACAGCTTGTTAATAAGTAAATATTTATAGAAGTTTAAACATGCAGGTTTTTAATTCGCCAAAAAATTTTTATTTTAATAGGAATGAATAAGTGAACGTGGAGATGGAATGGGCAACTTAAAATTGTATTTTTTTTTTTCATGTTATATGACGAATTATCAAAACATGTGCATCTTATATATATATATATATTTAACAGTTTGAAAATAATAGACTACATAGTATAAAACAAAGTCGCTTTCTATGTCCATATATATGCTTAAATCTTTAAAACTACGCAACGGATTTTGATGCGGTTTTTTTTTTCATAGATGGGGTGATTAAAAAGGAAGATTTTTATCTATAATACAAGATTAATTCGTCAGTTTATAAATCATGTCTAACATATCGAGCAGCACTGTACATAAGTTTAAATTATTATTAACCGATTCCAGGATCTTCCTCATCGAGCAACAAGACAACAAAAAATGGAACAAGGGCATGCTATACAATATAGGCGCCAGACACGCCATAGCCGAGCGGTTCCCCTGTCTGATACTCCACGACGTGGACCTGCTGCCGCTGGGCGCTGCCAACTTGTACGCGTGCGCCAAACAGCCGCGCCACATGAGCGCCTCCATCGACAAGTTCCGGTACGTGCTGCCCTACGACACCATCTCCGGGGGAGTCCTGGCCATCACCTCGGAACAGTACAAACTCGTCAACGGCTTCTCCAACCAGTATGAAGGGTGGGGGGGCGAGGATGACGACTTCTCGTCTAGACTCGCGGCGCACGGCCTGCAGATCATGAGGTCAGTATATGTATTATCTCAAAGGTATAATAATATTTATTAATACAATGTCAATTTATTTTCCACACTTAGATGTTGAGGACCTATCTAAATGTTCAAAAAAGTTACCATCTATGAGGACCCGGGTCCGATTCCTGTCGGTTCTTTATCGAATGTGGCCGTTTCTGTATTCCTGTGATCGGGTGTCGCGGCAGTTACCTTGTTACGAGTACTTTAGCTACTTAATTGGAGATCTCACCGATGTATGTGAAGTTGTCCAATATTTATTTATCTATATATATATATAAAATTATGAAGAGATAAATTGAACACTCAGTGTTTTTCTTTACTATCTGCGTGCGCGGGATGGATGTAGTGCTCGATCAACCGAACATCAGTCGCGTTTGTCATTTATATGAAAACTCATAAGCGTCACATCGCAGGGTCTTTTCCCCATGACAATCGAGATTTCACACTTAATCTGGCCAAGCGTAAACCACGTATATGTCACATATCGCCCTTACCATGTCACGGTAAGGAATCTGTTACATCATTATATTCCGTATCCTGTATACCTACGTCTACGCCTAGTCCTAGTTCTAGAAGCGAGGAATCTATAAGTGGTCATAGCGAATAAGGGCCCAGGACTAAGCGGACGCACTGCGCACGCGCACGTTGCTGTGGAGACGTGAACGCGTTCATACTGGACATGGACAGTGCGGTCGGTGGAGCAATGTTAGCGGCCCACCTGCGATAATGCGAATATTTATGGGCATTATTATTATTTTAACTTAGAGAACTGGTAATCGTTCGTGTTCTCTATGTGTTTAAAAGATCTGAATGAGGTAACGAAAAATAGACGTTCACGGGAGTTCTCTTATGGTTTACACGTAATTAAGTAGATTTTTAACTCAATTTTAAGTGATCAAATACATGTAAGCACATAAATAAATAATAAATAGCGATCATCATCGTCTGCCCTTTTATGTCCCCCTGCAAGGGCCTTTCTTATTTATGGTTAAGAAGAATGGGCCGTGACCCTCCACGCTGACCCAATGTGGATTGGTAGGTATTAACGTCCTGCAAATGCAGCGGAGCCCGACGGCTTGCCAAGCACGGAATGATAAGTCACATGTTAAAATTTTAACTCACGGCCGGTTTCTGAATTGAAACAAAATCTCAACTGATTTCGAGTGGTAAAAAGACCCAGTTTAATCAAACTGCTATCATTAAAAAAATTAAAATCAGAAACGAATACCTCTTTAAGGGACTTATGAAATTCTCAATTAAGGCGCCTATTACACTACCCAATCTATCGGGCACGATATATCGGCCGCGATTTAGGGCGGTTGGTGTCGTTGCGCTCACAAAGTACCAAAGAATTGGCATAGCCCATACTTTAACTGCGGGCGAAAATAATAAAACAAAATGTTGGGTGAAAAATATTTGTTTCTAAGAGACCAACTATGCAGTTTGAACTACTACAGAATGAGTTCTGCATAATTTGATCATATATTAAACTTAGTCATACCTTATATAGCGCAAAATAGCGGTTAGCTGTGCTGTAACCTTAAAATTTTTAGCAACTGGAATTAAATTACCTATGTAAACAATAAAGTTATTGAGTATTTATATCATGACTTAAAGTATAAATACTCAATAACTTTATTGTTTACATAGGTAATTTAAAATAATATTACATAATTAAGTTAGTCGCACTATGGACCCTATCGGGCACAACAATAATATAAAGTTTATTATAGCATTAGTTTTTATTATTGTAATTTATGTAAAATTTATAATTGTACCAGACACATGCAAAGGCTATCTAGAAATGTTTAAAACATTATCTCATATTGATATATATATATAAGAAAAATTAATAATATTAAATTACACTTAATATTATTTCTTTTCCTTTTGAGAAGACATTTTTGTCTGTTCGCAAAGAAGAATGGCGAAATCAGACCCCATAATTTACAAAACCGTACATGGATGGCAATATAACAAATAAATAATATATGATTAATAGATTTTATTTCTACAAAATGGTGAATTTTAAAGTCGGGGAACCAAACTAAAATATTAAATGCTGCTATTAATTATCAAGATAACAAAACGTCTGATGATAGGGCAAAAACAAAACGCGAAAATCTTCTTAAGAAACGTTCTGGTCTACGCAGAAGTACTTTTATAATAAAACTATATCTAATAATAAAAGGGTCATCTATTTTAATGGATATTATCGTTTCCTGTACATTACAATTAATCCTATTGTCTTTAAAGTACCATTAATACGCTTAATAATCGAATATAAATTCAAAATAAGATTATATAGAATAGATTCCGTTCTCTTTAATTAAAAACCACACTATATGTCAAAGGGTTGTAGTTTGGATGGTTTTTGAAAAATCGATCACATACATCAACGATGTCAGAAGCGATTCTCAATTAATCGCGAGTTTTTTTAAACATATTTTATAGAATATTATCTGTCGTCATTCACTGCTAATAATAAGTGAGATATGTGATTTAATGATGCGTACGCGTACCGACTGAGCGAATGAACGTCAAATATATACTCAATATAAAATCTATATATAATATATTATATGAAATACGATATTTGAATACTTTCATATATATTTATTTTATTCGTTCAAATTACGAATTGAATACTTGAGAAATAAAAAAAATTGAAAGCTAAGATACCACAACCGATTTAAGAAGATTATTGTCAGTTCTGCAGTTGATCCGATAAAAGGTTAACGTATCAATTATTTTGTTCTAAATAATCGATTGGTTGATTTTATTTTGACATGCTTGTTTAATTCATCCATGAATGTTCTATGATGATGATGGTGGAATGATAGCAGTTGATTAGTTTGGTTTGTTTGTTGTGTGTTCGTTCATGGAGTTTGATATTTATGTTAATATTCAACTTGACAATTAAGCATGTTTCTTTGACTAACGTTGATATCTGCATTACTTTTGGATTCCGAATGGCAATCGATTCGGTTATATTAATGACAGTTCAATGTGTACATTGCCCTTATTTGTCACTTTCAGTTGTAATGATTTAATTAAAGGCAAAGGGATCTAGTCCACACAGTCTAGTCATATGTTATAAATGTTTCTTCTATTATAAGTGTCTGGATCTTGTTAGATATGTAACTATCTTAATCTAGTTTATTAAACGGAGTAATCTGGTTACCATTTTTATTTATTTTAACGGCCATTCAACGAAAAAGCAAAGATGCAATATATAACCCCACAAAGTATTTTATGCCATATCTTTTTAACCCCAACTTTTAAAGGAAAAAGACGATTAGGATTTTGTTACTTTAGTTTATACCTTCAAGTACACGTTTATTTCATTCATGAACGGGACTTTAAAAATTCAGGTCCAAAGCTATATGGGAGTTCGCCATTGTTCTTTCGTTGTCGTTCACTGACATCTCACACGCACGCTGCACAACAACCGACTGAGCGCTCTAACACCCTAACGGCGATCACATTACCCGATAAATCGGCCCTAACTCTCATCGGGCGATCGGGCGCCCACGTTCACCCGATATCGGGACCCTAACTCTCTAACTGCGATTAGACTACCCAATTTACAGTGTACTCGATGGATCGGGCCCGATAGATTGGGTAGTGTAATAAGCGCCTTAGTCGCGTGTAAACTAGCCGTAATCGATGCAAGGTTCCCCCCCCGCGCGGCCCGCTACACCATGCTGCCGCACCGGCCCGAGGCGCGCAACCCCGCGCGCGCCGCGCTCCTCACGCACGCAGTCGCGCGCGCGCGCTCCGACGGGATGCACGCGCTCGCCCGCGCGAGCGTGCGCGTCGCGCCGCAGCGGCTCTTCACGCAGGTCGCCGTCCGATTATGATACGAATCCGACGCCCCGCACGATACTGCTGTGTCTTGTATTAATGTCGCTGTCCTGTTCCCGGTGAAGATGATACTTTTCTCCACTATTTTCATTCGTATTGACCGTATTTTTTTTTTTGTTATCTAATGAAATGTTCATGTAAATCTTTTGCGATATGCTCTTCTATGATATTTTAATGTTCCGAACCGTAGATTTAAAACAGGCACATATTTATCTAAATTAAAAGGTGGTTTGAATTTTTGGTCACCGTCGCCGCATCAGCGCCGTCTATTGTAATCGTGACATTTCACCTTACGGTAGACCAATAAAAGCAAAATCTCTTGGATGTGATACGAATTTTATAAATAAAATTGAATTTTCTTTATAAATAACGAAAGATGTTTTGTAAAATTTATTTATTTTTTCCAACATTTAAATGAAATAAAATGAAAAATGTGATTCTTTTTTATCAAATTTATATATAGATAGGTGTTATATATGTGGGTACTTCGAGGGCTGCGTCTTGAACAACTGTCTAAATGAAGTAGTACGTTACAACAAACCGTCAATATACAAACCTAGGAATTAGTAAATTCAACATTCAATAAAAATCAACTACGCATAAAATGGACTGGACTTCGATATTCAGTTAAATAAATCATATTCGACCACTTTTATCCTTAGTTGAATGATGGTCAGAATCACAAGTCAGGTCTCGGGTTCGATTCTCCACCCAATTATAAAATAAAGAAGAAAAGGATATTATCTGATATTATATAATTAGGTAATGTAAAAAGAGGAATGATATTCAGAGCACGGTAATAAACTGCTAGGAACTGAAATATATTTTAATAATACTCTCAAAATGTATCTCCCGTCATGGTTATGTACTACTATAATGTGTAAAGTGCCTCAAATGCACAATATATAAGTAATGTAAACACTAAACTTTCATATAGTCAGTATTTCAATTTAGTTATTTTTATTATATAAACGGTACGAGATCATCTGGTTCACAAGTTAAAATGGGGGTTCCCCAAGGATCTATTCTGGGTCCCTTTCTGTTTCTAACATACATAAATGATTTGCCATTCTTTGTCGAAACTTTATGCGATATAGTATTGTTTGCAAACGTTACTTCTGTAATATTTAATATTGATAGATGTAAAAATAACTTTGTGACCCGCAACTTTAGCTCCTCGGTTTATATATTGTTTAAGCTGCAATATTCAGTTGTAAAGCGATAGTCATACCTTACACGTTTTATCAAATTGCAATGGTAAAATTTTTTAAAAAATATTCGCTACTTAAGACCTTGGATTAACACAAATAGCATAGCTAAATTACATAGCGTGCTAGTTGATGATAAAATATCAAGGTGGTATGATCAGCGCTATAACAGTCTCGCTTGTTTCACCTTGTATTCGTGAATAAGTATTACTTTACCATTATGGTATCTTAATAAGTTGATCACAAACTTATCGATACAGCAATATTATATTCGATCAATTTTACGTTTACAAAACTTTCTGTCAGATGGTTTTCTCGCGGGGTGAAGTGTTGTATACTGACAACTCGTTATTATTTTTATTATTTTTATTGTTTCTTTGCACCAATTGTTATGTACTAGAAAAATTATATCAGATTGCACTACCCACAGGCTCTGCCAGAATACCAGCGCTGTTGCATGAGTTGATTCTCACTGCAACAGCACAAGCTGAGGTAGTGTCCTGATTGACCCCATCACACGTATATAATAGGTTGAAATATGTATGTTACTGTCTTCTATATTCTGTATCACTTTTTTTTTGTTTATAATTGTAATGTGTAATGTGTTGGTCAATAAAAATACTTACTTACTTACAATGGGTCCCATCTCAGAGAACCAGGGACGAAGTGGATTGTTAAGCATTTTTCATTAAAGATACAACAATATATTATAAAGCAGTCTTCCGTTATGAAATAATCTTCCTCAGTGATAAATAATGCTGTATACACATTACACACAGTGATTAATGTACTTACACTAATTATAGATTTGTCCTCGAATTAAAATACTCATCCATGATATTCATCATATATTACACAACTACATTAAATAATAAAATCTGAGCTCCAATATTAGTTATTTAAATTTATTTTAATATTTTTTATTTATAATTGCTAGAATTACTTTAAAATATTGTGATTATTTAGAATAACACATTATTTTGTATAAGTGTATTTTTAACGATATAAAATGTATTGCGTCACTGATGTGTCAAGTATTCGCCGATTCTCTGCTATTGCAAGTGTAAATTATAATTATTTCGCGTAAATTAAACTAACATTTACCATGTACCTATCTTATTAAAAATAACACAATCTCCAAGTTCTTGTAGTTGTAGTGAACAGTTACGATCACAATATTAAAATTAGTGTACTGATTACAAATTCGTCTTGTATTTATTTATTCTCCGTAGCAGAGTACCACGCTGATTCGCCAGTGTCGCTGAGGTCCAGGATTCGATGCCCGGCCTGGGGGCCAATTCTACTAAATCAATTTTGTTTAAATCGAATCGAAAACGGATCGAAACTATTGTTTTTAATGGTTTTTCTATTCTACTAAGTGACATACGATACAATTCCAGCTGAAATAGAACCGGAATTGTATCGTATGTCTCTTTGTAGAATAGGAAAACCATTAAAAACTGTAGATTCGTTCGGTTTCGATCCGTTTTCAAAATTTATTTAGTAGAATTGGCCCCTGATAAATGAATATAGATGATGAACTTTGCTATGTTGTTATCGGTCTGGTTATTGTAGTACCTTCGCTATCTTGTGTTTCCATTATACAACTACTTGAAAATATTACATATACATTCTTAAAGCGGTTATATTGAGGCTCGAATTCTTTATATTTAACAGACTAGTAATAATATTAGATAATTTATTTGGTGTTCTTCCAAACAAAACTGTTTAATCAGTGTAATATAAACGAGAATATTATTTTTAGTATAAAACTGGCGTACAAATGAAAAAATCCATACTTTCTTATGTAATAGAAATAATAGACAACTCTTAAAATTTTGGGCATAATCAGTTGTGTTCTAATTTGTTGGTATTATTTTTTCTCAATGTAAATATCCACATTTTTATGGTGGTAGGTTAAGAGCAGGTATTAAACTATGATTTAACTATAATTGATTTAATTTAAAAATGGAATATGGCCGTTTGTTCAATATAAAATATATCATCAATACCAGCGCCATCTTTTAACAAACGAAGTACCGAAGATATGATAATGAATTGAGTGTAGGGAATTAAAAGGCGAGTGATCTTTTTATTAGTGTGTCTTAATAAATGTGCTTAAACTCTTTAGTTTAAACGTATAACATGTTTCTATGGTATTTAATTATTATAATAAAACATGTGAGTGTTGTAATAAGTGTTTTATTATTTGTATCCCCTACGACAACTTAAGTAAACAAAATAAAGACCTACTCATGGACACACAGGCATTATAAAAATTAAATTCGTTCACCGCAGTAACTAACTTCATTAAAGAGATGTCAACACACATGTGAGCGTTTGTATTTGGAGCCGTCCATAGACTATCTACGTCACATGAATTTCATGTTGACAAACTTTAGAGTATGTTCCGATATACACAGCGACCACTGAACAGTATTACGTCAATTTAGTATACTGGAAGCCCGTTCCTTTATAGCTAGTTATACTGGTGACTTTTTAAAACGGAACGCAGTCCAGTATACTGTTAATCCTATTTTTTGGCGCCATTTTCAAATTTGTTAATGCAAGGTGAATATAAATATAAAGATTCCCTCTTTTCAAAAGAAAATTGGAAAATTGTATAAAAAAATATTTATCAATTAAGTCCATCTTATAAATAAACGTAAGTATTTTTTTTTTGTTTATTTAAAAACTTATCATTTTCTGATTCTGTTTCGACTGATCACGTGATCAAAAGCACTGCGAGCACCTTACCTCGAAATCTCCAGTGCTCACAGTACAAATATGGCGGCAATTAATGACGTCATAAATTTCCCTAGGGTACTGTAGCAGTGTACTGGCAGTCCATAACGTAACGGATTTTTCAGCAGTAAGACCACTGCGCAGTGCTCGCAGTGTATATCGGAACATACCCTATATCTTTTACATGTTGTTATTGAAGTTGAAAATAGACTACAATTTGGCCAACTGTTGGTGGTATCCCGATGTGGTGCCGTAGGTGCCTGTTGTTACGTATGTGTATGAGTACATGTGAACTAAACCGGCGCCATATTCGCCCAGTCGGCGCCCGCGCACACGGCGACGGGCAGCCGCTGCGGCAGGCCGCACTGTTGGCCGCAACACTGCATCGTTTCTTTCACCACGCCTGAGTGTAAGGCTTCGTTTTTATTATTTGTTTGTTTATTAGGAACATTACCTACTTTAAATACAACAGGTAAATTAATTTGTATGCGTCGTCGTCGTTTGTCGGTGGAGTATCTGCAACTGTATTATGATAAGGTTTTATTGTACGTACGAGGAATGATCGCAGCCTTCGGTATACCTTTTAAATTATTTTTAACACACCACGGCTAATTTTGCTATGCTTAACTGTTGTCATTTAAGCTATTTATTAAACAAATTTATGAGTATATGACTAACTTAAATGATTTAATAACTATTACAATAAAAAGTGGTCATCTTAAAGAACCTAAAGAAACAGGGTTGGATAGTTTCGGTACGATTCTCATGTCACTATAACTCTAGCAATTTTAAAACGTTGCCTAACCCATTTAAACGTTTCGATAATCAATAGTCTAACTAATTATTACACTAACTCTTACAATTAGAATTTATCAAAACAACAGATAGATAGTTTTAGTTCCATGTTGACTTGTGAGTAAAAGATGAATTAAGAAAATGCACGCCTCATTTCAACCCTGAGGTATCGTAAAAAATTTAAAATTGCCCAGCTCTTTCAGACTACCTATACGAGACATCGTACATAAATATTATAATAATCACGTAAAACTGCATATCGGCATTTCTGCCGTGACATAAATTTCTGTAATAAGCTATTAAGTCAATCAGTGCAATAAACGCATTCCATCAACGCGGTCGTATCATTATCATAGCAGTTTCCTAGCATAGCACTATCATAGTTCAGCATCCTTAAGCACCCTGTAGCATATGGTATTAATGTAGGGAAGTCACCCTACACTACCTAACGTTCAAAGTTTCAATAAAACTCTAATATAATTTTTTAAATTAATCTTGAAAATAAAATGTTCTGCACTGCTGCTTCTATGGCCCTTCTTTTTTCTAATGTCAAAATGAATAGAGTTATAGGTAGGTAGAAATAATTACCTAACTGATAGACAAAATAAAGTCTCAAGGTCAGCTTTATTGTAGCCGTATGTGGGATCTCGGCTTAGCCTACCTCGTAACGAGCGACTCACCGGCTGCCCAGTGCAAGTGTTCAGTGCGCACCTCCCACACGAGCTCGTCGTGTATCTGCAGCAGCAGCCGGGCGGCGCCGGGCCGGGAGCTCAGCCGCCGCTCCACACTCACCATGGCCACTTTACAAAGATCCGCTGCAGACCCTGACATGGAAACCGTCGATCGGTAATCGTTTATGTATAGCTGTGACGGGGAAACGTTTCGATTACCCTAATAATGCGGACTGTCCCCTGGCAAATAATTTCCTGAATATTGCAGAAGTTAACGCTAATGTAATGCAGGAAGACAAATATGGCAATTAACTAGGAACTAATGTGAACGAAATTCAAAAGTTGAGTGCTGTAGATAGAACTACATTGGAAACGCATGAAGCGCCAGCGCAATGTGCAACCAAGTCTACCGAGTGCAACTATTCTCTCATCCATATACGTGAGTCTTGTGAAGTTTTGCGCAAGTCAACTTCTGCTGGTAAATCACTACAGGGCCTCTTATTGTAGTATATGAGCGTGTAACCTTGCACTAGATAGTTGACGGCCTGCCGCAGCTGGCGCGCCCCCCCCGGCGCGGGGAAGGCGCGCACTCGCCCCCCCGCGGTGCGCAGGCGCCCCCCCGCGCGCGCGCACTGCTCCCGCACTCGACTCGCGAACGACCTCAGCGACGGAAACTTTGCTGCAACGAGTCGAAGTCGGGGTTACAAACCATACGAAGGTTAATTAAAAGCTTCGGCAGATTGGAATTTTTTGTATACAGTTCGTACTAGAGCGGTGAGGTGAACTATCCAATAGTGCTGTGAAGTGTTATTAGTGACGTGAAATAGTGAAGTTGAAGTGTGAATTTTGTAGTTGAAGTGCTTTTTTGTAATCTCATCGTGTTAAATGAAGTCGGATTGTGAACTATAATTGGCGATAATTTTTATCCCGAACCCTAAGTCATAATACAATACTATTATCGACCGGATCTTTCCAAAAGTGGACTCGTTTGTTCCCAAATTTTATCGCAAATTTCCAAATAAAAAGTGATCTCGTTTACAAGAAAATAAGTACGATGAATACTTTCGTGGGTGCTTATCGATCCTGACGCATTCCACTTTTAAGAAACTACAGATAGATCACCGGCACCGGCGAGGACGGCACGGAAATGAATATAGACTACCTGGTTAGCGTATCTTTTGATCAGTACTCACCGTTGAAGCTGGCGAGCACGTCGAGTGCCTGTCGGTATGTGACGTCGAGGATGTCCATCAGTTTATTGGCGCCGCAGCCGTACAGGCTCGCGTACACTATGCGCTTGGTGCGCTCGCGGTCTGCCGGGGACACGTCCGCCTCCGATTTATTCAGCCTAAAAGTAGCCACCGAAATATCTCGACCGTCGTTCTAACACAACACAGATAACGTTATTTGTAAAAATACGATACGAAAGCTACACAACTACAATAGTTACAAATAGTTCTACTAAAAGAGGCCTAACGCCATCAGTTCGCATATCGCTGCGAGGAGAGTTCGTAGGTATGGCCGGTGACATCTGACGATTCGCCGATCTCTTAACTAGACGACTAACAACCAAATTTGTACTTCAAGATCAATCGAGGTCTCGTATGAAATATTGCTACCGATGATTGATAAGAATCACCAGTCTGCCGCTAACGCTCTGAACAAGTCGTCGTGCTGCAGCGCTGCGAGCAGCGCCTGGTCGGCGGCGGCGGCGGCGAACACGCGGCACTCCACGTGCCTGAAGTCCGCCGCCAGCAGCGTGCGCCCCGCGCGGGGCACGTACACCGCCCGCAGCTGGAGCGCCTGTCCCCCTGCGCACCATACATTCAGCTTTGGAATGCTAGTGTTATAACTCCCCCCAACAGTGAAAATAGATTACCCTTTTTGGACTACAAAAGCGAAAACGTTGCAAGGGGAACCGTGCCGGCTCTAGAATATTTATTGTTCGTGTGACTTACATTACACGGTCATTGTCACTACATACAGAAACTTTTGTTGCAAAATCTTAAAACAGGCTAAACTTGGTTACGAAAAGGAATTATTAATAAATAAAGCTGGAAATAATAACAAGAAACTTTGTCTATTAAAGTCTATTAAAAAAGTGACAAATTTAACGAGGGAAAAAAAGTCCAATACGGAGCTTTTAACACTGTGTGACTGTCCGAAAGAAGCATTAAATAAAGTAAATAAATACTTCGTTGGTGTAGGCAAGGAGTTGACAGAATAAATTCGCAAAACTACTATGATAAGTGTACCTAATAATCTATCTCAAGAGTTTAAGAACTCTAATTCATTTGTCTTAGAAAACACAGATTGACGGGAGGTTGAAAGACTTATAATTGGTCTGAAAACTGAATGTGCAGTGGGATGTGACTCGATTTCAAATAAAATTCTTAAAGATATTCTTAAAATATTATTATCTCCACTTGTATCTGTTTTTAATTTGTGCATTAATCATGGGGTTTTCCCAACACTCTTAAAAAGATCACAAATCTGCCCGATCTATAAGACTGGGGATAAAATAAGTGTAAATAATTATAGACCTATATCAATATTACCTACATTCTCCAAGCTTCTGGAAAAAATTATCAATAGCCGGTTGTTGAATTACCTTGAACGAAACTAATGAACGAAACTGATGAACGAAACAATCTTCTATCAAACTTTCAATTTGGCTTTAGACACAGTCGTTCAACAAATGATGCTGTTCATTTTCTTAACGAGGTAATATCTACCAATCTAGACAAAGGTAATAAATGTATCACAGTCTTTTTAGACTTGGCAAAAGCCTTTGATACTGTCTCAATTCCCAATCTTATAAAAAACTTGAGTTATACGGTATCAGAGGAACGCAGCTGGAACTGTTCAAAGATTACTTGAGGGATAGGTATCAGTATGTAAAAGTGGGTGAATTCTGTAGTGATGACCTTCCTGTTTCTCATGGTGTGCCACAAGGTAGTGTGTTAGGGCCAACTCTGTTCTTGATTTATATCAACGACCTCTTACTGTTGAATTCTTCACAAAGAAAATTCTCATATGCAGATGATACTGCTCTTATTTTTATAGGAAAGACATGGGAGGAAACGTACGAACTTGCACAAACTGGTTTTAATAAAACTTGTGAATGGCTACAACAGCATGTGCTTACATTAAATGCAGATAAAGCGAAATATATTGCGTTTGCAATCCAAAGTCCGAAAATTAATAATAGTCTACAGTTGATTGCTCACACATGCAAAGGAAATCAAAAATGCTTATGTCGGGCTCTTCATAGGGTTAACGCAATAAAATATCTCGGTGTTGTGATAGATGAAAATTTGAATTATAGAAGTCAGTGAGTAGCACTGCCAGAATAAGGAAATTATATTACGTTTTTAAAACCTTACGGCGTATTCTAGATCCAATTAATTTAAAACGCGTGTATTTCGCACTTTCTCAGGCTTTGATTGTTTATTGTATTTCGTCGTGGGGAGGTGCAGCTAAAACAATAATTAAAAAAACTGAAATTGCCCAGAGAGCTTTACTTAAGATATGCACTTTTAGACTCTTCTACTTCTCGACCTCTCTGCTTTACAAACATTGTGAGTAACAGTACGACTACTCTTTTTGCTTTCCATTGTAACGAAACAACACAGCACTCTCGAATATAGCTCTCAAAAAGTTAAAAGAAGAAGGCACTATAATGTTTGCGATCGGGTTATCAGTCCTTAGACTGAGTTTTTGTAAAGGTTTTATCTTTTCTTGGGTCCGTACATCTTTAACAAAATTAACAAAATATTTAACATTTATAGCCTTAATAGGTTTCATTGTAAAATTAAAGTTACAAATTGGTTGTTGGAACAAACATACGAGGATACTGAATTAGTAATTAAAACTATTGGGTGATATGTCATAGTACATATAATCTTGGATTTTGTTTCAGATTTCTGTGTTTAGGTATCATTGCGAATATCCACATTCTCCTCAACCCTTATTAAAGATATAAATTATTTATCTACACAATTTAATATTTTACCAATTATAATATTACATAAAAATACACCCTCTTGACACTCATACATGCATTTCTCACATTACACACAGAGAGGACTTCTTTTCCTTTCTATATTTTAGTTTGATTTATTTTCAATGTTGCTTTAAAAGATGGTTTGTTACATTGAAATTTATTGTTGCTAAAATGCTACATTTAAATAAAACAAAACAAATATGTAATGTAATACATTGATTAGTGTCCGAGGTTGGAGGCGCCATTTACCGATGTTTCAGGTCCACAACCTAGTTCGGTGATGGATGCTAACTATAAGCAAGGTGTATTTTAAATAATTACTATATATATATATATATATATATATATATATATATATATATTTTTTTTTTTTTTTTTTTTTTTTTTGATAAGCTTTGTATGTAACTTCGATAATTTATGATCAAATAAATATTATTATTATTTATCATATTGATTTGGCGCCGTCGATCGTTCCGTTATATTCATATGATTCTAGTTTAAAAATATAATTTACCGGCGCCCTCACAGAACATGTCGAGATTGAACGGCGCCTTCGGTATCGCTTGCAAGTTGGGGTTGTTTGACGCCATCCGCCCTGTGGCCGCCGCTATCTGCACCCTTCGAGAATGAAATGGAATTTTGTGAATGAATTGTGTTCACTTCGGTAAAATAAAAAACAAGATACTGACACTATTATATACTAGTTCAGTTTCAATGTATTATTCTGAAGGCGATGAGTTGATGTAGTATTTACCTAAATTTAGTTCCTGTGATCAGACACACGTTAAAAGAAAAAAACACTGAATAATCACGTCCTTAGTTAGTTACCAAGTAGGTCTGACGACGCCATTCTTAACTTGTTGAGCGATGCCGGCCAGGTAGGTGGCGTGCGCCTTGTGCAGGCGCCTGTACTGCAAGATCAGTTTGGGCAACGGATGGACGGACATCAAGCTGCGCAACTGAATTAAAGATACAATGGCCGATTAATCGGTTATCTCATTCTCGAAGGTACATACAACAGAAATCCTAAAGTGTAAGTTTTATAAAAGTTTCGTTAATGCCAGCAATAAATAAAATTATGATCCTTCGGGCCACATGTAATCCAACTAGATTTTGCCTGCGACTTCGTCCGCGTGATATAATTATTTTGGGCAGCATATCTAAAACGAATGTTTATTTTTATATTGTTTATTTTTATTATTCATTATATCGTGTTAAATATCTGAAATAAAGTTTCATCATTTTATCTTACAGACTTACGTACAAACTGTAATTTATTATTTCAACCCTATTATCACAATAAAAGTAACCAACCCTATGTCCTATCTCAAGTCAATTCTGTTTAGTGGGTTAGGCATAAGAACTTAATTGACATATACACAGACCTACTTTCGCATGCATGATATTAGTGTGGAATAATTAAACGAGTCTCCTCGTTTTTCAGTACATCATATAATAAAATTGGACAGTTGCCGAAATATATAGATTAAAAGCAATATAAATCACGATTGCTTGGTCGCTTTTTAAACTCACAGCTGTTAAAATTTAAATTGTTAATATATAATGAAAATGTCGTAGCCAACTGGGTAAAAGATCCGTCCAATTAGGTCGCTAGACTTAAATAGAATGGCGCCATTCATTTGCACGGCTAAACGTCGATCAGCTGAGTATCTAGTATCACCATCATCAACCCTTTTATATCCCCACTTCAAGAGCTCAAGCCTTCCTTATGAATTTATTAAGAAGGATGGACCAAGACTCTACGATTGGGCCCAGCTGCATTTGCAACGACTGCAAATGCAGCCGGGCCCAATGGCTTATCGTGACTTCGAAATCATGGAGTAGCTCGAGATTGTAATTTTTTGGTCACCTATCCCGTGAACGCAATTGCGAAAGTTGCTCAACAACAACGATCGTGCTTATCCACTACGTCCCCGAGCTACTCATTAGTACGTAAATTTTATTTGAAACAACCTTGAACAAAACAGTGCGATGTATCAGTCAATCTAAGGTACAAGTATACTTCTATTTTCTTGAATTTGCTACACCCTTGCAGGGTGTCACATAAACTGTAGTATGTAACACTTAATACTATGTGAAATGCAATAAATGAATTAATATTAGGTCCTTACATATGAAATTGATGTTTGGTATGGGAGGAACAAAAAGTCAAATATTTTTGAATATAATATACTTATTCAATCAAAGTATAAACCATTGTTATCTATGCACTTTTGCCATCTCATAGGTTCATTGATCCCCTTACTAAAAAAAGCTAACTCGAACGTGGTTTGCGACAGATCCGCTTCCACAACAGCCTTCAATTCTTCATTATGACCTAAGGTCTCCGGCCGTCCACGGGGCTTGTTCTGCAGATCGAAATTTCCAGAACGAAAACGTTGGAACCAAAAACGCACTGTGTTTTCTTTTGCGAGACAACCGCCATACACACCATTAACCCTTCGAGTCGTTTCCGCAGCACTGGTACCACGGTGGAAGTCATACTCATACATGACATGATATTTCAAGATTTACATTTTTTATACTGGATGACGTAAATAGAACAAACGGAAGTAAAAAAAAATGAATGCCGCCTAACGAAACACAAATACATGTGTAAATGGCTATATAAATTTGAATTTGGAATTCCCAACCAAGGAGGAGAAATTTGTCATTAAAGTGGCCGTACGACAAAACGCCAATTTCATATGTAAGGACCTAATATTATATAGTTTGGGTTTCAATATTTTCAAAACTAATTATTAAAATGTTATTTTTGTTATCAATCCTGTACTGAAATATTAATATGTATAACAGAATATAAGGAAATCTTTATAGATAATGTTAGATAGACTTATTACAATGACAAATCAAATTGTAAACAATGGTTGCTATGGTAACATTTTGATTCTCCATAAAAACTTCCACTCCCGTTTTCATCCCTTTAGTGCTGATTTTCGGAATAAAATTTAACCTATTATCCTCCCAGAATCTTAAGTTATTGTTTAAGGTCCAAAAACAAAGAAGTTTTATTTTGATTAAACGTTTTCACCCTTTTTAACCCCTTCGAGGCACGTGTAATTTAACGCCTGGAATTTATAAAGTCCGTTCATAGTACACTTCTTCGTAATAAGAGGAGTGTTCCCTCCAAATTTCAAGTCTCTACGACCAGCGGTTTAGTCTGTGCGTTGTCTGTCAGTAAGTCAGAACATCTCCTTTTATATATGTGACCGGTGGTAAAAATATAAGAACTCTCACAGCGACTTCAGAAGTAGACTTGGCTCCAACAGTGGCGGTCTCTTTGATCCTCACTTGGCTGAAGGCGTCCAGCTTCAGGTCGTCGTACAGCAAGGTCCGCACCTGCGCGGGCGAGTTTATCTGGAATGACCTGCCCGCCGCCAGGTGGCACTCGCGCTCCACTGACTTCATCTTGGTCAACAGAATTTGCTCCATCGACTTCAGCTTTTCCATATCTACGCTAACTCCGAACCTTTCCATTTCTGATCAACATTGACTGCATTTTATTATGTTTATCTGGTAGCTAGGTTTCACAGATTTCCGATCCATTACAACAATAGTTTCAGAGTGCTGCTCGGGCTTCCGCGGTTTTGTAGTGCTTCGTACATGTTCACGGACGCACGTGTCGATGATTCTGTGCCATCATACGTAAACGTTCCTCATCACTTCTAGACAGGATACGCAATAGCCCGAACAGCATTCTGTGGTTGGTTGCAGATGGATGGGACAGTCCCATATTGATACGCTGGATGCAGTTGCATACTAGCTTTTAAGTGAATTGTTGTCTCTTTATTACTAATATTAAATTATAATTCTATTGTTACTAACATTAACTATGGAGTCATGTCTCTGATATAAAGATTATTTTTACTATTATAACTGTCCACGTAAATCTATTAATGCTATGCTTTTCTGTAATTTACCTAATTCATATGATTTTAATTAAAATATTTATTGTTAAACATTCTGAATTGGAATTAGTAAAGGTGCTTAACTCACCCGCTATAATAGGTAGCAATCGCATTTCTACATCTTTGAAAACTTTCCACAGTGAGTTCTCTACCAAAAGCTCCTTTAATTTAGAGATACATTCCCTCAGAAGTGTGGTATACCAAGCAGTTTTCTGTAGTCTGCATTCGGTGGCAATCGTATAATCTGGTGTGTATGACAATAGTTTTTGTATGTCAGAAAAATTCTCTGGTAGATTATCTGGATCCAACAAAGCTCCTGCAATCTTTAAAAAAAAAACACACGATACATGAAATACTAAATTCAACCATACTGACATACTTATCATCATTAGGTAAAACCTTTGCATCGAATATGGAATCCGGACGACATCCGGTAAATTCTAAAAGATACATCAATATATATTTCCCATCATAACATAGTAAAGTATTGTGTTCAAAGATTCTATTATAAATCTCTTTAACATCTTCGTTAATTTTGTCAATGAAATAAAACCGTTCGTTTATTTGTAATAGAATTCCATCGATAATGCAGGCGTCCTCTGTATAGACACTGTTGAGTTGACAAAAACCGTTTCTGAAATTAATTTCCAGTTATTTATTTCTACATAAAAGTTTTGTCATACATCTAATTAGTTAATCAGTAATATCACCTATAAACAAGAACGGCTAAAATTTCGGTGCCATCATTTATATCGCTCATATCAATAATCTCAGCTGGATTGTCATAATCGCCTAAAGTAAATATCTCATAAGAAACATTTTTAATTGGTAGCTGAGACTTTATAGGAGCTAGAAATTTAGACTTAGATTTCTTTTCTTCCGAAACCTCTTTAGCTGGTGGAAGGTTCTTATTTTCTTGTTTTTCGGGTTTTTCATCCTGGATATTTCTCGTTTCAGGTCTTCCATACTTCATCACTCCATCTTTATTTGCAAGTTTTGTTTGTATGACTTTCTTTTTTATAACTTCTTTAATCTTGTCAATCGATTTGGTTTTATTTTCTTTATCAGAAAGTTCATCATTGAGTTCATTAATGTTGTCTAGAACACTTTGGTTTACATTATTAAGCCATTTTTTTACAGTGTTAGTATTTTTAATTTTTCGTTTAAATTTTGTATCTTGATGCAGTGTCTTAGTCGTTTTTTCGGATCCTTTTGTTGATGTCTTATTGGATTTTAATTTTCCGTTGTCACCAATTAAATCAATATCGGAAGATAAAGATTTGCATTGATCTATTTGTGCAGTTACCGTATCTTGAAATAATTCTGTGTCTAACATGTCGTCCCAGTTAACATCAATTCTGTGAGATGTTTCTAATGGTAATTTTTTGGTGTGAAATCCTGTTATAATTTGCTCTCGTTCTCCAGAAACACTATTTAATTTAGCTGTTTGATTAAATTCATGAAGTACTGTATTGGACTTTGTAGAAATATTTACGAAATTATCTCGAGAAATTACGTTGGGATTTTCATTTTCATCTGTCTTAACATTTAATAGTTCGACTTGGCCTGGTGAATCTACTGTCGGACCAGAATATCTCTTTGGTTCTAATGATGAGGACACGGGAGTGTAACAACCCGAATCTCTGAAACTAAGATAATGCATTTATACGATAGGATATATAATTTGAAGTTAAAAATACGTATCGTAATAAAAATGAATAATTTCGTTATCAACTTTAAGATTTTCTTATGCCGTGTTGATTTCTGTCCTAGACTATCACCGCCATATAAACATCTTCCCATTCTTTCTGTAAAAAATATAAAAACAGCTTAAAAACGGTTTCAATTCTCCTCACTATCAGTAGAGCCTTAGTTTCGTAGATGCGGTGCTGTGTTTGTGTAACTGCCGCTAAGCGGCCGAAAATACTCCCTACAAATTCAACTCACGAGTGACGTCACGCCGATAGCCTACTCTATAATAGCTTCTATGTAATATCTTTGTTATTAGTACATTTATGCTTATAGTTGTTATAAATAACATTGTTACATTTTAGGTAGGTATATATAAGTAAGTAAGTTTAGAAAAATAAACCAGGGCTCTGTGGCCTCATCATGGATGCATCTCGAGGTATCTTTTAGATATAATCATAATAAGGTAAATAACCATGCTCGGTCTAAAAGGAATGAGAACTCCACTTATAATTAGATTTTTTAAATATTGGATTAATAAAAGTATAAAGTTTAAAAGTATCAATTTTACTTCGAGATGTCTGTGCTTAAAACATACCTATACATACATTCCCATAAAACTATTTAAATTTGAGGATTTCACTGATAGTAAAAATTTCAAAGTATAATCCGTCCCCGCTCCCACTCAGACTATAAACAGAGCGAAATACTTCTTGACACCAAAAATATATTTGTAAATAAAGTGTTTGAATTAAACACTACACTAACGCCATCTCTTTCTTGGTCAGTGAAAACAAATTAAACTGTTTTTAGTATTGGTACTATAGCTGTTTTGGCGCTACTTCTCCCGCGTAATTTATAGCATTCTTACCTATGTCACTCGCGTATAATGTAGATGTAAGAATTTTTAAATCGTTCTAGTAGTTTCGTAGCGTTTTCAATACAAACAAACGAATAACTCTTTGTCATATTAGTATAGAAAATAACGAAGCATTTTTTCTATGCATAATATTATTAATTTCTTCGCAAGTATTATTATATTAATATAGGTACTACCTGCATACCACTGTTCCACCAAAATGCCCAAAATATGTTGACCGAAAGGAGATAATTGCTTTTTATACCAATTTAATCTATCTTCATTACCACTCATGGTGTTTATAAAGTGAATATGAATGAAATGAGTAGTTCAACAAATATAATATAAACCACCTCTGCATTAAGAATTTCAGACTATACTATTATTAACTTTAATTATACCTACGACTCTGAATTTAGATTTAGACCGTAATTAAATTCCCGCACTTTTTATTTTCGGAATTTCCGCACTTTCTTTAAAAAGCATTTTTAATGAAGGAAAGACAAAGGCATTGAAACCGATACAGGCAAGTTTAATGTTTCCTGGTTTCTATTAAATTATAAGTTTTGTTGTATTAAAAAAAACAGCACATGAAATTAAAATAAGGTTTAGTTAATTACACGAGGCATTACACAAAATGAAATGTAAATAATGCATTGGATTTGATTCTACTTCATACAGCTTCCTTTGAATTTATTGAAGTTCTTTGGATTTCAATGGACGTCGTTAAATTTCCGTGGTCTTTGTTAAACTTTAGAACCTTCGTGTTTAATTGATCTTCAATGGACTTCAATTAATAGAATTCAAGTTCAATGGACTTTATTGAATTTAAGTTCTCTTCATTTGCCTTCAATAGTCTACCATTGACTATTCAACTTCATTAGAATTCATAGTACTTCAAAGGAATTAAATCGGCCTCAAAGGTAGAGTTACATTATTATATCATATATTTACTATGGCTCTCGAAAGTCTAAATTACTTCTTTATGAACCGCACCTCTACTGACCGTGTGAACAGTATCTGTGAACCGTACTAGATCAGTAAACTGCGGAGTTTTCTGTTTTATAATTTTGTTTTAAATTTTATAAACTTCTTGGTCAATTAAATTTTATAAACCTTAAAAGAATGTCTTGTAAAGTTCACAAAAATATCAATATATTGAATTCGATATGTATCGGTTACAGTCGATATAGGTACATCGCTACATAACAATGATGTGACACCCTGTTAGGGTAAAATTGAATCTGTACTTACCTAATAATTTGATCCGTCAAAAATGAATCAGCTACTTATACGCTATTTATATGTCTACTTTTTAAATAAAATTAAAGTCACAATATAGTTGGAACAAGAACATCGGAACGTAGTGTTAAACGTTTGATTACTGTGTTTGTTTGTTTTAAAATAATCGAATAATTATTTTAAGAACGTCCACTTATGTCGAGCAAGAAGATAATTGTTGATTGTGTTCTTCTTCGTCAAAAATTAAATGAGATAGATCTAGGGAATCCCCGAATATAGAAAAACACATAGTTTCTTTATGGTCGGAAAGTCGGGGATTCCCGAGAAATTAAACCGATCGAACACTACTTTCATTCTAATGCTGCCAACTTAACAATCTACCTAAATTTAGGGAAGATTACAAATAAGTAGGCCGGGTCGGCGAAAAAAAGACAAGTAACTGATTTGTAGTATGCAGTAGTAAGTAACTGATTGTAATTGAATTGCAGTTAGAGGGCGCCGAAGAAATTTCGCCCAGGGCGCCAGCAGTGCTAAAACCGGCACTGCCCCTTTGTACTTTTTCGCTTCTATTGTTAACAACACTAAATGAATGAACTTCGGATTTTCTTTATAATATTCTCAAATATATTAGCTAATAATTGATCTATTCAAAAATGTATTTATTTCATTGTAAAATGAATTCACAATGAAGATTTACTTTTGCCATATCGTGAATATGTGGGTATAGTTTCTTAAATTTTTCGTCTTTTCAATTTACCTTCAATTTATTCTTTGTTTTTTATCTTCTTTAAGGCTCACAGCTGCGTTATTATCGGTCGATAATATCGCATGCGTTACTGCGATATCTGTTTTCAGTAGATTTTGTATTAGGATAGTCATGTAGTTACACACTGCTGTGATAATAACGCCGCAAGAAGTAGTAGTAAGGCGTTTCATCGTCCTGCGATATTCCGATATAAGTTCTAGAATGTTTTCTATCAGGACGCAAACGACCGTACACACGCCTGCGATAATAACGTTACTCTCTCGTAAGAAATATCGGACGATAAAAACACAGTTGTGTGCAAGGAATGTAAGGAATCGGGACGCATTAACGCAATACCGCTTACGATATTATCGACCTGTAATAACGCGCCTGTGTGGGAGAGCCTTTAAGTATTTTTCCAACAACAAACACATAGTTTTGCTATATTTTATCAAAATAAGGGTAGGCCATTTGATTTCTCATCTTTTTTCCGCTCGATAATATTCAATTGATGATTACATCGCTTTTTTCCTCTGAAAGTGTTTTAATTCTTATTTGGTTATAGTCTTTGTACAGTCATCCAGCTTTAAGACAAATTTAACTCCAAACCAAAGTTATGAGCAAACATATCGTCTCATAATACACGGCCGCACACTACGGACTCATGCGCCGTGTCTCGTATTACACGGACCGCACACCAAGGATTAAGTTAATTCAAAATTCTTCTTTGTTATAACCTTATGTAAATAAAATACTTTATATGAAAAAGTTTAAAAAAATCTTTGAATACAAAATCCCTACATATTTAATGTAACTATGTGAGTACATTAAACACAATATACTCCTTTTTTGAATAGTCGTGTAAAAACTACTACTTTGTAAGCAATAAATCAGTGTTAAAAAATGAAATTACAAATATCACAAGTGAAGATGCCGTTGAATGCTAAAAGAACATCTGGTATACATTTGCTCTTTGGATTTCAATCGATATTAAGTTACGATATGTTGATATTTTTGATATCGATTTTTGTCGACACAAATATCATTCTACCCTACTTACTGTCACCATGCTCACCATGAACTAGAGGTTTACTAGTTCTCTTATTGGTCTGTGTCACCGTGACATGATCAAAGAGTACATTTGTTTGACATTTGTACATGATGACTGACAGTGAGGTACATACACAAATAAAATGAACGAGGAAAAAGGAAAATTATGTGAATTTCTTTCAATAATAATTAATTGTTCGTGATATCTTTGATTCTCTTATTTCCATGTAAAATAATGGCGGTAAATTTAGAAAGTTGTGACAGTCTTCCTCCAGATGAGGAGCCAAAGTTGAAATACGATAGAATGGGTAACGATGTTCAAAACATTCTTTTGAAAGACGCAGTGAGTTGTATTTGTGTCCATACAAAATTTATTTGTCTCGGTACACAGTGGGGAGTCATACACTTACTCGATCATGAGGGCAATACAGTTCCAATATCACAAGACGGAAATGAGAAAGAGTTGCAGGCTCACGCGATCGGAGTAAACAAGATATCTGTAGATCTAAATGGGGACTATATTGCGAGCTGTTCCGATGACGGGAAAGTGGTAGTGCATGGCTTGTACTCCAACGACAACACGCACAATCTATCACTGGGAAGAGTGGTCAAATCAGTGGCTCTCGATCCTTATTATTTTCGATCTGGATCAGGACGACGGTTCCTAACAGGTATTTTTGTTAATTGGTTAAACAGTGTTACTTTCCAGTTGACTTTAATTTGAAAAAATGCTGCTTGATTTTAATGATGTTAATTTTCATGAACAAATATGTTACATTATTTGAATGCTATTTAATATTACAGGTGACAATAAATTGGTACTCTATGAAAAATCATTTTTAAATCGTCTTCGTAGTACAGTACTCTGTGAGTGTGAAGGCTACGTACAATCCATGGCCTGGCATGAAAGGTTTGTAGCATGGGCCAGTGAAGTTGGTGTTCGAGTCTATGACCTAGTAGCTAGATGCTCTCTTGGCCTTATTCAATGGGAAAAAAGCCCAAACAGATCCATTGAAGATTATCGATGCAATTTACTGTGGTCTGCTCCTAAAACCCTCATGATTGGATGGGTTGATACAATCCGAATATGTATTATTAGAAAAAGAAGTCAAATTGAATTACAAACTCGGGATGTGACTGAATACCTTGTAGATCCTGTACATACTTTTCAGACAGACTATTATATAAGTGGCTTAGGACCGTTTGATGATCAGCTTGTTTTGTTGGGAGTACCAAAAGAATGTGACCCAGAAACAGGGAAAGCACAGAGACCCGTTCTATCAGTAGCTGATTATAAAGACTGTGAGTTTTGTGAAGTTTCCACAGACCACCTCAACATTAGAGGCTATGAAGAATATTCATGCAATGATTATTATTTGGACATGCTCATTGAAGAAAATAGATTTTTTATTGTTTCACCTAAAGATATAGTGATTGCCAGTCCGTATGACATTGATGACAGAGTGAACTGGCTAACAGAACATGGAAGATATGAAAAAGCAATTACAGTTTTAGAAGAAGTAGGAGGGAAGACAAGTAGACATTCTGTGGTCACTGTTGGTGTGCAGTACCTGGACCATCTCATGTCTGACCACCTGTATGAGGAAGCAGCCATTTTATGTGCAAGAATATGTAAAACAGATAAGGTCTTATGGGAAAACCAAATCGTAAAGTTTGCTGAAGTCAATCAACTTAGAACTATCAGTCCATATGTGCCTAAAAATCCTGAGCAAGCTCTAAGTCCACACATCTATGAACTTATATTTTATGAATATCTCAAAGTGGATCCACAAGGATTCTTAAAATTGGTAAAAGAATGGAATCCAGAGCTATATAAAACTGGCTACATTATAAAAGAGGTTATAGAACACTTGCTGACCAGTGAAGTTGACAAAAATGTCTACTTAGAAGCCTTAGCTTTACTGTATTGCTATCAAAAAAAGTATGACAAGGCACTCACCACATACTTGAAGCTCCAACACAAAGACGTCTTTAAACTAATCACTAAACACAATATGTACAATGTCATACATGACAAAATATTAGATCTGATGACCTTAGATTGTGACCAAGCAATCTCAGTTCTCTTAGACAAAACAGTGATTTCTAAGCAATTGCAAGTTCCAGTAGAAGTTGTTGAGAAGCAACTTGAAAATAATGACATATATCTGTACAAGTACTTAGATGCATATAGTAAAATTGAATCTAATAGAAGATGCCATGAGAAACTGGTGGGTCTGTATGCTAAATATGCCAGAGATAAGTTACTACCATTTTTGAAATGCAGTGATGATTATCCAATACCAAAAGCATTTGAGATCTGTCAAATGAATGGCTTTTATCCAGAAATGGTTTTTCTACTTCAACGTATGGGCAACACTAAAGAGGCCTTACAGATCATCATAGAAGAGCTGAATGACATTAACCAAGCTATAAACTTCTGCCAGGAACATAATGATAAAGAACTGTGGTCTGACCTCATCAAGCAGTCAGTGGATAAGCCTGACTATGTAACGTTACTACTTAAGAGAATAGGGAACTATGTTGACCCTAGGATGCTTATCCAAAACATAGAGCCTGGCTGTGAGATAAAGGACCTCAAAGAGTCCTTGGCCAAGATGATGTGCGACTATCACCTACAGCTCTCTGTACAGGATGCCTGTAAGGTGATAACATTGAGAAACTACTTTGACTTGCATGAGAAACTAATTTTAACCCAACAGCGAGGCATATCAGTTACAGATGATTTCATGTGTTGTGTGTGTCAGGGTCGCATCATTATCAAAGACTTAGCCGATGCATCTGACCTTAAGGTTTATAATTGTCGACACTCTTTCCATGTAGAATGCTTACCGGATGGTGTTCAGTGCAATAGTTGTACAGTGTGTAGTGCTGTTAAAATGTGACCCATATTACCAGTATATAAAGATGCTCAATGTAGTATGGATATTTATCCATTTTAAATATTGTATATAAATTGATCAAGGGAATGATATTTTTCCATATAAACTAACTTTATTGTATTATGTATGTATTATTCTGTGTTATCAGCCAATTTATTTTTGTTTAAAATTTTATCAGTATGGTGCTTTTGAAATAAGTGGCTTGCATTATTTTCCTCATAACATTAAAACTATAAAATTTATAACATGTGGTACTTATTTGTTATTTTACTGTATATCTAATCTATTCAATTAAATAAATCATGGTATTACTCTTATTAATAGTTTTCTGAAGACTTTTTAATATCTATATGTACATATAAATTCATTTATCTTAAAAAAATCACCAATCCAGAGATGTGATAAGAACCCAAAAACCTTTTGCAATAATGCTACACAAGACAAGTTCGAGACCTACTTACTGGAAATGACAAATTTCTCAATCATATTTGCATTGATAGTCAAGTGTCCTCCCCTTTACCAACTAATAATTGTTGTTAGAAATTCAAAGGATTTTTTTTTATTGATTTAATTATTTTATGTTTTTAAATTAAATCTTTTCACATTATGGTCCAATTCAAATATGCCGCTAAAGGCGGGATTCAAGATAGGGGACGCTAAAAGTTATAATAAAGTCAAAAATATATCAGGTTTCTGCTCCAGTTGAAAAAAACAACGCCGTGCCTCTGATGGAATTAAACCGACATTGCTACTGACCTAACTTAAGTCCGGCAGCGCCACAGCTAATAGTCTGTATTTATACTAAATTTACGGTATTTCTTCTAAAGTATAGTTCATTAGAAGTCAGATCATGTTCCCTCATCCAACCTCATACATATACATAGCACACATATAAATAACATTGTTTTTCACACTCTAAAGAAAACAAATACCTATGTCACAAGGTATTTTATTAATACGAGTAAACAGCTTTCTTTATGTATCCTTATTTATACTTAACTACCTAACTATAAGACAAAATTGTAATGGGATGCTGAGAAATAAATTTATTATTATCAATTTATCTATCAGTCTATTTATTATTATAAGTATACTTTAGCACATAATTATTTTAAAGTATCAAATTTATACTATGCTCAACTGCATGAATTCATGATACATTTACTTATATTGTTTTGAAAATTTTTCGTTTTCGAATTAAATACATTTGGTCTGTTAGTCGATTGCTGCACGTATTTAAGAGAGATAGTAACAATAAACAACTTTTTTTTAACACACAACAAAAGTAAATTAACATTTTGTCGGCATTTGAATCAGCCGTCTTGTCGTCCGGTCCAAATGTCGTAATGATTCAACTACAAGGCGTGCAATTGGTGCCATTCAGTGAATGGACTAGCCGCTCAATTGGGCGGCTGATTTTGGCAATTGGCTGAGACATACAGATACTGCTGCCGTGACGTTTGAGTTCCTAACACAACAATCGTTTCGTTGGTAGAGAGAGGACATTTGAGCATGTATTTTTTGCATTTGACTGTAACGAAAGTTGGCACTTAATACTTAAGTTACCAATGGTTCACTAAAACGAAAAACGGTCTCCTCATATTGCTAATTATTTTAAAAGCCTATCCAACGATACCAAACACTATGAGAAGAGAAGAAAAACTTTTTCATCCCCCCCTGAACCTACACCAAACAATTTTTTTTCTGTACTCATGCTAAATTACATCTTTCTAATACCAATACTTTTCAAGTTAAACCGCGAACGGACGGACACAACGGGCATGGCGAAACTATAAGGGTTCTTTGTTGAGTACGGAACCTTAAAAACCACAACATCGGAAAATAATATATTTTTTTTTAAATACAGTAAGTAGTCATCCAGCGAAAACAGCTAAATGTAACATTTTGTTTTTTCGCCCGAATAATAATTTCCAATAACATAGTGTAATTATGTTAAACCGTAAAATCGAAAACGAAAGCTACTTCGTTTGATAAAAATTGAAAAATGACTGCAAATAACAAAAACCAAAATCGCTATCAAACATAATAACGTCATCTAGTGATCTTTAGCTAAATGTAACATTTGCCACTATTTCATATTGGCGACGACGATTATACCGATTTGAATTGGTCAAAAAATTAGTTAATCCTACGTAAACTTGGCAATGATGTCAGACGTACCAACTTCTTGGTATACAATATAAAATATCTTTGCTTTCGTACGAAACAAAGCTATAATTCGAATCGTTATGAGGAAATTTGTAAGAAACATCACTTGCTCCCTTTAGAAAATCGACGTGACATCTCTGATCTGGCTTTTCTCATCAAAATTGCTTGTGGTGCTGTCGATTGTCCTGAACTCCTGTCAAAGATCGCTCTTAGGGCCCCACAAAAACAACTCAGGTTCAATCCTTTATTATATTTACCCCCAGCTTCTTCAAAATTTCGGCAGAATTCCTTTCTGTGGCGTGCGTGCAATAGATTTAATGAGTTATCGAAGCGAATAAACGTCGACCTTTTTAACACTAGCGAAGCGTCAATTAGGCGCATTATAAGTAACCTATTTTTCGAAAGTCCATAGTGTTGTAGATTTAAGTATAATGTAAGCAGCATAGTCTATCATTGTTATGATTGTAAGCGGTCTATCTTCTCTTTTTTCTTTTTTTTTTATACTATGTCTATCTGTGACGACCTGTAAGTGGCTGTCTGTTTTTAGCTAAGATTTTTATTATGTAATTTTTAGCTGTTGGTCATCCATGTACATAAATAAATAAATAAATAAATAAATAAATAAATACTTACTAGTTTTTAGTGCCATGTACCATGTACCAAGACTACTCAGTCATTGTATGCAAAAATACCAAGATTGGCCGTTGACCGACAAAAATACACTGACAACATAGAATAATCGACAAATTTCAGAGATGCATGTAAAAAAACACATTCCAATTTTTTTTTTCGGCTCTCTACCTTAAATGTTCGGAACCACCTTCCCATCAACGGAGGAAGGTGGCGGTGAATCCTTCATTGGATACCCCACGGCCGGCCGTGAGGTTATGTCAGACTCCTACTGACTAAACACCGCCTTGGACTATTGCAAAGGATTATTGGTTGCGTGCCCTGAAGGGGCAACGAACCTTCATCGGAGCGACTGCCCCCCGCAAGGGGGGGGCAGCGCAGACGTCCCTATTCATTTACATGAATAGTGACGTCGAGATGTTAGCCGTTAACCCCGGGGGGCTCGGCTCATCGGATTGAAATACAGCTGACTCCCTGAAGGGGAACGATCAGCCAGAGTTGATGGGGGAAACATTCCAATCAGATTTCCTCAATGTCATAAAACTTTATTATATCAAGCTGTCTCGATGAGTAGTTACCATTTTCCGCCGTTATTTTCTCAATATGTTAGATAGCGTAATGGTAACGCGTTGCGCTCATGTTCACAGGACCCTGGGTTCGATTCCTGCACGGGAAATTTTTTTTTTGCACCCTAAACTTCAAATCATTGTAAATCTTCGTTACAAATCATTTATTTATTTTTTTCAATATATTTTACATATTATATCCGAAATGCAATATAATATAAAAAAAATGTGATATTTCTTCCGTGTGTTCGATAATTACTGCCCTCTATTAACGGTATACGAAATTGAAATGTGCATTTTTTTTTACTGAGATGCGATTTCCCACCCAGTCTCTCAGAATTGGCAGCGCCAGAGCGGAGCACAGGCGTACTAGTTTCCCTCCTCGAATACCAGCTTTCAGCCAGCTTGGCACAAGGATTTCTAAGTGGCCGTCTAACATCCTTGAAACTTGGTGCAAAGAACTTAAATAGTGGATTTGGAACAGTTGGCATGGAATCGTAACTATGGCAACGTTTCAATGCCTTATACGAAGTTCCACTCTCATTTTTATTCCACCGTGTACTATTTTTCCGGAAAAGATAGACATACGGTGTTGCGATCTTTTTCTCAGAACTCATAAAGAGGAGCAATTTCGTAAGATATGATTTAAGCGTAACTTTCACCATTTACACAAGAAAAGTTCTCAAAAGCAAAATATTCTCCCGTTATTCGCAATATTTTTCATCGCTCGCTCCTCGACTCCTATTAGTCTTTTGTACGTAATGTTATATCGCCTATAGCATTTATTATTTATTACTCAGTAAATACTGGTAAATACAATTCATTACTCGGTAAATACAAATCAATACAAAAAAAAAATACAATGAGGAACCGTTAAAAAAAACGAAAGCACTAAAAAAGCACCTCCACTAGATGGCGACTCTAGCAAAAGTTGCAGGCAACGAATGCTTATTACTGTTCTCTTTGGCCTAAAAACAGTCATTTCCGTTCCTTTTCACGGAGCTTTTCACTAATATATTAAAAAACTGAAATTTGAAAAGTTCGAAACTTAGAAAAAATCAACTTTACTAGAGTCGCCATTTAGTGGAGGTGCTTTTTAGTGCTTTCTTTTGTTTCTTTAAATACTACCTCATTCTACCATAAACACGATCAAAGATTAAAATTCGTTTTACGCAAAGCTACTGCGCCGCAATATGTTCAAAATAATAGTATTTTAGTTTGAAATTAATCAAATCAGGTGATCACACTTTAAGGTTTCATTTAAATTATGACATTTATTTAATTATAACAGGTCAGGTGATCAGAAGGCTGGTTTGTACCTCGCCCAAAGAATTAGTTTAGCTATTCAAAGAGGAAACGGTCGTAACCTTCTGGGTACCTTACCTGTAGGCAATGATCTGGGAGACATTTTTTATTTAGTATAGTTATTATTTTAAGACATAGTTTAGATAAGTAGTTTTAATTTAAATATTTGCTATATTTGACTTTAATTATTTTTATCAAGTCTTATGTCTTAATATTAAATATTTAGCATGCATGAAATGAAACGTGAAACTGTTGTTTATTCCCATGTGGTGTTGAAAAATGGACGCGCACATGATTTTAGATTAATAGGTTTTAAAAATGTTTACCTCATTTTCTATGCGCTAAACTGTGACAAATTTGTGGATAGTGTTGAGTGAAAATGACAGATATGCCTCCTTATCTCGTGGCTAAAGACGAGGAGAAAAAAAACGAAAGTGACAGTGAAAATATTTCTTCAGATGTAGATGACTGGGATTTACCTCTCAGTTTCGATAAACCCAGACATCTTGAGCCGATAAAAGGTGCT